TAATGGATTATATTGATATAGAACCAAATAACTGTAAACACTATTGTTGACATTTTTGTAGTATACTCTGGAAACTCAACCTTCAATTTAAGTTTATAAAATATATCTGAATTGATTTCATAGGTAAGTATTTTGGAAGCTTCCTTTGATTTTAGTTTCTAATTAATTTTTGATGTGTCTGCACATAAACCCCATGGGTACTTAAGATAACAGGTATCAATGTAACGGAGGAAATGTCCGTCCTGATCTAGGAAGTGGATACAGTGGTTGTGACAGTCTGCTGTCAGGATCTGACTCTGGCTGTCTATTGTGATGCCAAGTTGATTAAATGGTTCCTTGGTAGAGGGATGACCAGTGTATCTAAATCGGAGTTTTCCTGCCTGATTAACCACCACTACTGCCTTGGCTTCCTGGTCAGCCACACAGATATCCAGGTTTCTGCTCTCACTGATGTGATTAAGGTAACCAGATGAATAGAGAGGTTTACCTTCATTATCAAGCTAAATGGTTTGTTTCTCTGTGGAGCCAGAGTAACGGACAACATTTGATCGTTCATCATCGCTGTACATGGTAACCAGATGGTCGCCTTAGTGAGACAGGGTACTAGAGACAAAGTAAGGTGTCCATCCCTGTAGTCTTATCACTTTCTGTATCTGATTATTCTTCACTATGTTTACTGTTCTTGTATCAGGGTCAGTATAAATTAAATCTCCACTCCTTGTCACTGTGATGTCACCTGGTCCCTGACTTGGTTTGGATTGACTTCTGCAGTTTGCCGTTGAGGTTGTAGAGTTTTATTATTTTGTCTTGGCCACGTGTCCAGATTTCTTCATCACTGAGACAGGTAACACTGCGTAGATATTCATACCCAGTGTCTATGGTGGTGATGAGCTCTGGTGCATCAAGCAGTTGTTTGACTTGAGAACAAGATACAGCTTCTGGTGTCTCCATTGTGTAGCCATGTTTAGACTTTCTCAAATCATAAGGCACCACTTCATGTTTCTTAGAGACGTCAGAGACGTGTTCCTCCACGCAGCTCTTACAAAGATTCATTAGACATAAGTTACAGTACATTTGCACAACTCTGTCTTTGCAGAGGTCACATCTGATGATGTCCTTGGCACAAAGTCTGGGGTTCATATTAACAGATTCCTTAAAATGCTGAAAAAATTAATATCATAATTGAATAATCAAACGTAAAGACTGATGTAAAAAAAAAAAAGGATGCACGTTTTAAAAAAAAGTGTGTTAAGAAGGAGAAGGAAATGAGATTTTTACCTGCTAAATCTTTTGTATCTGTAACTGCGTGAATTTGAAACTGTGGCTGCAATGATTTATCAGTGGAGCTAAAACGAATCATATGACTTTTTAAAATCATTGATAAACTATCTCATACCACACTTACATGAACTTTGATATTTAACTGACACATCTTTACATTTTATCTGTTTCTGTGTTGTTGTTTTTTTCCTAATTTGCTAATATTTATGTACATCATATTAGCTCAGTTGTTAACTATTGACCTGAAATATACTTTTTAGTATTGTTTTACTATGTAGTATAAATTTTCAACAAAAAAGATATAAAATATAAATTTTCACCATTAAGAACTGTGTACAAGATTTACATTAAATGCAACTTTATTAGGCAAATACTGGCATCTTACTGTAATACTATCATGTATAGACAAAAAAGTGCCGATACTTCAATTTTTATTTTTTTTCACATGTAATTTCATAAAAAAAGCAACCTAGAAAAACTTCAAGGGCTCATTTTTGTTAAATAGTTTTTATACCCCCCCCCCCCAAAAAAAAAAAAAAAACAAAAAACAAAATTTGGGTGATATATAGGAATCACCTTGTTCATCTGTCTGTCGGTCTGTCCGGTCCATATCTTTCTTATGGAGGAACATTAGAATCTACTACTTCACACAAAGATTGTTTATGAGCTGAGGGTGTGACAAGACCTTGGCCCATGGTCATTTGGGCAAATTCAAGGTCACTGTAAGAAAAAGTTCATAATCCGTGTCCGGTCCATATCTTTCTTATGGATAAACTTGGTGAGTCCCCATTTTACAAAGATTGCTTATGACCTGAGGGTGTGTCAAGCCTTGACCTAAGGTCATTTGTGCAAGTTCAAGGTCACTGACAGTGAAGTTCATAATTCATTTCTGGTCTGTATCTTTCTTATGGAGAATAATGTTGGGATGTTGGGAGTTTCATCTTTACAAAAAGATTGCTTATGACCTGGATCCTGTTGCACGAACGTTAGTTAAATTTAACTGGCCGTCAACTTTACGTTAACGCGGGTCGCCTGCGCGGCGCAGTGGTTAGAGCGTCTGCTCTAGAGTCGCGAAGCAAGGAGTTGATCCTTACGTCGCGGGTTCGAATCCCACTGTGGGACGTGGAGACCGGTCCTTCGGATGAGACCGTATAAACCGAGGTCCCGTGTCGCAGTAGGTGCTGGCACGAAAAAGACCCCTCACTGCTCAATGGCCGTAAGTGCCGAGTTTAGGACAAAATTTGCAGCTCTCCACCGGCAAGTGGTGGCGTCTCCATATGAGTGAAAAATTCTCGAGAGGGACGTTAAACAACAAACAATCAATCAATACGTTAACGCGGCGTTAAATTTAACGGCGAGTTAAACGAGTTGCACGAAAGTTAACTGAAAGTTAAAGCCTAATTAATTTTCTAATTTAACTAACAGATTTAACTGAGGTTACCTAGGTACATTAAATTAATGTTAAGCATTAAAATCAAACTCGCGGACTTGTTATCATTTCAAAACTTGATTGCGAGGAAGGAAGAACTTATACAGAGATAATAGAAATGACTGAAGCAACATTCAATCCCGATTTCATTTTAGGCAAGATTGTACTATAGATGTATATATACATGTATAGATATATGTTGCCATATTATCTGCAAAGAACAACAAGACGAAATCATCCCATATGAGTGGAGATGCAAGTACTTTTTTTATCCGATTATCCATACAATAAATGTCATTATATTTTATCAAAATATGATCATCATTTAAAAAAAAAATAACCTCAGACAAGTATCCGAAAAGTAGGTTAATCGTTCAATTCAAATTTAAGGCACTTAAAACGGAGGGGGGGGGGGGGTTCCTCTCCCACTTTTTGAGAGTTTTTTTTTTTATCATTTTCAATTTCCCTCTCAAAATTCAATGCTTCGTGTTAGAACTTAATACTGAATACATACTTTGTAATTGCACTGTTTATACTGCATGTAATATGACTATCTTTCAACGTAAGAATTCATATCTGAAGTAATTATCTTTAATAATACATTTAATATATTTTACCAATAATTATAAGATTAACAAATTGAAACATTTATGAGTTTACGTCATTTTGATTATGACGTCAGAAATATTTCACCATAGGTAAGGGAAATGCGCGTGTAGAACGATTTTAACAGAGAGTTAACTAAAAGACATCAATTAAATCTTAGTTAGCTGATTAAGCTTTAATTGACTTTGGAACAACAACAATTTAACTGCCAGTTATGTAACTTATCGTTAAAAATTTAACGTGCAGTTACGGCATTAACTTGAAGTTAAATTAACTATCGTTCGTGCAACCGAATCCTGAGGGTGTGTCAAGATCTTTACCTAGAGACACTGTAGAAAAAAAAAATGGATAAATAATGCATCCATACTTTCCAATAGAGAAATACTTGAAAAATTATTTGATTCAATTTTTCACTTTATATCATTAATTTTGTGACACATTTAAATGTAGTAATACTGTATAAACAAGCAAATTCAAAGAATTGTGGTCCCCTGCTTCCGGTGTCTTAGTGGGTGAGATGCCATTATATATGGCATATTGTGTCAAATATGAACGTCCTATCACATGTCATTCAAAAGTAATCAGCAAATTTAATTTTTATTTTGGAAAATGAGGTCGAATATGAAGGTCAAGGGGTCAAAAATTATAGCATGCTCGAAAACATCTTATCATAGGAAATGCACATTTCAAATACGAAAGCCCTATCTCTTCTAAATCAAAAGTTATAAGGAAAAATAATATTTTGAAAAGTAGGTCAAACTTCAAGGTCAAGGTCACAGGGTCAAAAATCATAGTATATTTAGAAAGGTCTTGTCACAGGCAATATACATGCGTAAAATGAAAGCCCTATCTTTTATCTTTCAAAAGTTATATGACCAGTTCAAAGTAATGTTAAAATGAAAAGTAAGTCAAACTTCAAGATCACAGGGTCAAAAATCATAGTATATTTGGAAAGGTCTTGTCACAGATAATGTACATGTGAAATATGAAAGCCCTATCCTTCTCCTGAAAAGTTATGACGAAGGTTAAAATTTTTGTGACAGACAGACTGACAGATGAATGAAATTTAATGCCCCCTCGCTTTGGCAAAAGGGGGGACAATGATGGCATCCCATGCACTTAGAGACCAAAAGCGGGAGACCATAATTCTTTGAATTTGTTTGTTGTCTTTCTGACCCAGTGGTTCCTAAAAATTTATTAAAGATTCATTAAATTTTCACTAAGTCATAATTACCTCCCCTTGGAAGATGGCATGGCACTTTATTTAAACAAACTTAAATTCCCTTCATCCAAGAATTTTTTGTAGCGAGTTTGGTTGAAATTGGCTTGGTGGTTCTTGCAAAGATGATGAAAGTGAGATTTAAAAGTAGTCATAAGAAAATGTTTAAGTATTTTTGACTCTGGTGAGCTAAAAATCATACCACCAGACAGCCTTTTTCATGATTCTCATCATCTTTGATACAAGACATTGTCATGGGATATTGGGATGATTAGCTCCATCAAGGTAAAATATGAAGACAGAGAGCAACCCATCAATGAACTATTATATGAAACCTGGAGGGTTATAAATATAACATCACCAAATTTTTTAATATTTTATTGATATTATATATTGTACAAAAATATGTAAATCATAAATTTATACATTAAATACATTCAAAAAATGCATAATATTTACCTTTACATACTGTACATAGTTACATATAATCTTTTTTAAATAAATCATGTCTCGTGTACCTTGAGAAGAATTTGAGAATAAAAAATTCATACAACAATACATTATAAAGCATTATTTGGTTGATTTTTTGAAAGCTTATGTATGTATTAAGAATTAAAATATAGTAAATAAATATTACTTCAGGATTCATAATTCAGGCAGTTTGATCAAGCTCAGGTGAGCTAAAAAGCTTGTCTTACTTTTCATGTTAATGCATTCATTCACAATGCTTGAGCTGTATGACATGTATATTAAAGGACAAATGTGTAGGTTACTAATCCTGATAATATAAACTTCTAACTCTGCAGAGAAGTCCTAGTTGAAACATTGTATCCAGAATTTCTTCACGATCTTTTCTAATTAAAAAGTTGTAAGGTCTTGAGTAAAGAATTCTACTTCTGTCATCTTCCAGTTTATCACCGTTCCTTAATTTTTGGAAATGTTCAGTGCTCAAATCCAAACGTGTGAAAATGATCTGCAATATTGAAATATCCATATTATTAAGTACTTATTTATGTGCTTGTTAATAATTACCTTTTTGGATACAATTTTTCACAGAAGTGAAATATTGTGATTTATCTGTAGAAAGTAATAATTTGCAAGTCCTATTTTTAAAGTGAAAACATTGCAACAAAAAAATCCATTTTCCTTCCTTTGACACAAGTGTTAAAAAGAAAATAACCAACATTGATATACATGATATAGACTAAAAAATGCTTAAATTGCCTGAAATTGCTGTTAAAATCCATGTTTACTATTTTCTAATAACACAATCATTTAGCTATAATGTCTAAAGTAGCAAAGAGAATATTCAACTGTTTTAACTGCTGAAAATATAAAAAAAAATGGTTGTGAATTAATTCCAACTACTGTAAACACTGAATATCTTCTACGCCTATCTAAAGTGTTCTAATTATTACTCTAACAACATGTCAAGAGAATGATGAGTGGAACAAACATAGAGCAGAGGATATAATAACTTTTACTATGCTATATGGTAGGTATCACATTTTCACATTAGTGTTTACATTACCAGGACTGACATTAAAACAAGAGGCCAATGGGCCACGTGGCTTACCTGAGCACTTGGCAAGAAAAAAAATGAAATGATTCAGAAGATACCGAACAGTTCAATGACAGACTTATTTGCAAAGAAGGTCATTGTATTGACAAACTAGATTAATGCTATCCTTGTATCATCAACTTATTTGTCAATAGCCTGTCTTATTTTAAAAATTGTTTGTATGCAGATTATTACTTGTAGAGTGACATGGAGACTGGTTCGTCAGATGAGACTATATAAATCCAGGTCCTATGTCACAGAAGCTGGCATGAAAAGGATTCCTTACTTCTTAAAAGCACTGAGTGTCAAGTACAGGTCTCAATATGAGTGAAAAAGTTCTCAAATGGACTTTAAGCAAGCAAACAAACAAATCCAATAGTAGAGTTAAATCTAAGTTCTCCTAAAATGCAGTTGTAATAAATTTCCTTTTTAAGATAAAAAAGTCATATTTTGTCATATTTAAGCAAAATGTCCTTTTAAATACACTAAATCATAAAGCAAAATTTCACATATCAAGACAACTGTACTTATTAGCTCTTACCTGCACATGTGAGTTATGCATGTGGGTTACGGTTAAGAACCACTCAAAATAATATTAAATTTATTTTATTCAAATGCAATTTATTAAGAATAAATCTTCAACAGTTAGTTCCATTGAGTTGCTCTTTTATTAAAAATTAAAACTGTATTTGCTAGGATGGTTCTGGAGAAGAAGTCAAAACAAGAAGTCTGTGAGCCAATGCTCACTAATAATACCCCCGCTCTGATGTGAATACACAAGTTCAGTTATGGACAAACACAGTGATAATCAGGAAATTGACATCGGATTTGTAAAAACTGAATCCCAACATATGGCATGCCTAAACAAAGAAAAAATTTCAAGCATCTGCGATGAGTAGTTGCTGAGAAAACTACGACCAAAATTTATTATGTATGGTATGGACAGATGCACGGATAAACAGGAAGTTGACATCGGATTTGTTCCAAAAATGAATCCTCTTATATGGCATGCCTAAACAAAGATTGTGCTAAAATTTCAAGCATCTGCAATGAGTAGTTGCTGAGAAAACTACGACCAAAATTTGTTATGTATGGTACGGACAGACGCACGGATAAACAGGAAGTTGACATCGGATTCGTACAAAAATGAATCCCACCATATGGCATGCCTAAACAAAGAGTGTGTTAAAATTTCAAGCACCTATGATGAGTAGTTGCTGAGAAAACTGCGACCAAAGTTTGTTATGTGTGGTACGGACAGATGCACGGATAAACAGGAAGTTGACATCGGATTAGTACAAAAATTAATACCACCATATGGCATGCCTAAACAAAGAGTGTGTTAAAATTTCAAGCACCTGTGATGAGTAGTTGCTGAGAAAACTGCGACCAAAGTTTGTTATGTGTGATACGGACAGACGCACGGATAAACAGGAAGTTGACATCGGATTCGTACAAAAATGAATCCCACCATATGGCATGCCTAAACAAAGATTGTGCTAAAATTTCAAGCATCTGCGATGAGTAGTTGCTGAGAAAACTACGACCAAATTTTTTTATGTATGGAACGGACAAACGCACGGATAAACAGGAAGTTGACATCGAATTCGTACAAAAATGAATCCCACCATATGGCATGCCTAAACAAAGAGTGTGTTAAAATTTCAAGCACCTGTGATGAGTAGTTGCTGAGAAAACTGCGACCAAAGTTTGTTACGGACAGACAGACAGGCGGACAGGCGGACAGACAGACAGACACACAAGGGTAAAACAGTATACCCCCCTCTCCTTCGGAGCGGGGGTATAATAAATATGAAAAGAAAAGGACAGACAGTTGTGCAATTGACAAACTTCTATCAGAAATGTTCACTAAGCTTTTCAAGTAATAAAATTTATTAAAATTACTAACCGTGGTCTTAACACAAATAATCCCAAAAGATGTATTAGGTATTGCAGAATTCATGATTTCCACCAAAAGTTCTCCTCCATGCTGTCCTAACATATTCTCGAGAGGTTGGCTTCGAAACTTCTCATCTCTGATGCTAAAATCCCTGGCATTTTCCATGTAATTTAACTGCAGCCACATATTCACCTGAAATTACATTTTTTTGAGCTTTGCTTTACAATTTATGAACTAGACTATTAACAAAAATCTATGATGATACAATTGCTCAATTCATTGGTTTTAACTATAAAGTAAAAAAATCTACAAAAGGCTTAATGTAATCCTTTTGATTTCTTTGATTCCAAAACTATCCCCAGAGATCATGATTGAACAAATTTTAATTTACAATGCCTGAGGCTGTTTCAATATAAATATGAATAATGGTGACTTTGTTGATCTTGAGAAAATTAATTTAAAAGAGTTTTTTCCCCAAACTCTTTGGGGGAATCTTTCGTAAACTGACTGCCCACTGTGGCCCTGCCAACAAAGTTGAATCTACACTTCAGAGAATGCTTCAATATCATTATGACTAATCATGGTTTTGCTTTCTTCAGAAGATCTTTAAAGTTTTTTTCCCCTTTACATTCCTATGTAAAACTTTGATCATCTACTTTGCTCCTCCAACCTTTAGCCCCTTGGGTCATGATTTGAACAAACTTAATTTTTCTTTATGTTCCGTCTACCTGAACAATACATAGGGATCATAGAAGATGTGACCAGTCAACAGGGGATGTTTACTTCTCCTAGGCACCTGATCCCACCTCTGGAGTTTCCAGGGGTATGTGTTTATGCTCTCTTCAGAGAATTGTATTGTTTGTAGTTTTACAAGATTGATCACTGTTTGTTACCTTTTTCATGTAATAAACCTTTCACGTAAGTTTTATCTTCTCTAGTCCTGAGGTTATCAAGGAAAAGATTTTTTTTTAAAGGTACATATGTAGCCATTAAATTTTCACAATTTTTTAATTATCTCCCCTTGAAAAAGGGCCTGAATATATTTGAATTCCCTTCATCCAAGGATACTCTATGCCAAGTTTAGTTGAAATTGTCTCAAAGGTTTAGCGCATTTTCAAAAGGCATTTCTGAAAGTTCTTCATATAGATCATATATCCATACAAGGTGCCTAGTGATGAACTTGATTTAGCAAATGTTATTTCATTAAAACTGCCAAATAGAATACAATATACAATATTCAATATTATAATCATGTGATAATCATTAACAGATACATGTACCACTAAGAACTCTCATACAAACCTCTCCAACAGTCCCTGTCATCAGAGATGAACCTGTAGAAAAACGTGTAGGTTCTCCCAGCACAGTGTATCTGATATCTGAAACACTAGTTATGTCTACTATGCCATTAAGCCTCATTTCTACTTTCTGCCAAGCATCTCCTCTCCTGCAAAATTTGATTTAACTTACTTTATTACAAAAATACCTTTTCCTTAAATAATTTTGCGAAAAAAGAAATTATTAATAAATATTTCGTAAATAAATGTGCTTCAAGATATTGTGATGCCTGTTTTCCTCTTTTTTTTTAAACTCTCATAATGAAATTACCAAATTTTATAAGTCATGTAATATAAGAAAATTAAAGTTGAATTAAAAAGATGTAACATGTAGGCACCAATCAAGAGTTAGCATCCATAGTTCTTTTATCAACCAGTATAAGGCAAAGCCTCACACCAAATGAATGTTCCTGTAGTGTTCGTCCCTAGATTATACACCTTTGCAAATTATCTGGGTTTGGTTTATAGTTCATTGGGAATGAAACCTGCTCAACATTGTTCAGAAAACTTTAACCTATTTATTCATCTGAAAAATGTATGTCAGATCCAGCATCCAAAGCATTTCAGCTAGACTAAGTGTATATTCCTAGTGTGCATAAGCCATACAAGTTTAACATGTTTAATTACCATTCTTCATATAGTTACTTGGGAATGAAACCTGCTTCAAAAAAAATTATCAATTCATTCATTTATAAAATTTATAGGTCAGATCATGCATCCAAAGCAAGTCTGGTAGTGTCCATCCCTAGATACATCATGATTCATCCATTTTACAGAAACAATGACACCATGGAAGGAACAAGCTGTCATCGAGAAAAATAAAATAAAGGAATTTTTACTTTTTAGAAAACTTGACTAGAGCACTAACATCAAAAGAGCTCCAAATATTTTGAATTTGATCAATCCTTAACATAAACTCACACAGGGTTCAACAGGAGTATCTTGCTGAAGAGTATTAGAAGCTGAATAAAGGCACCTTCCACACTAGTTCTTTTCCCAGAAATCAATCCTTGTATAAGGTCAGAATAATACTGAACAAACTCTGTAATCCCAGCATACCAAAGGCTAAACAGGTGCCTATAAAAATAAACACCAATAAGTCATGCATAATTATATACAGTAGAAATGATTTCAATGACTTTTCCTTGGATTGAAATTGAATTAAAGGTAGATATTAGTTTTTTCCTTTTCTGTATTTCGTCTGGGTAGGATTGGATGCCATTAAGCTTGAAAAGGTATGATATCATACCAGTATTTGTGAAATCACATGATATTGATACAGTTTCTTTTAAATGAAACCTGGATCTATTCTGGTTTCACCAATCAGTGACTGCTGTAGTACATGTACCTTGTATACTCAATACACCCTTCTTAATCAAGTGCAGGGGTGTAGACTTCTGGTCCACACTTTCCTATGCCAAATTTAAGGCATGTGTTGAAAAGTGTAGAACTGAATCAAATATGGTGGAGAATGGTACAATTAAAAATTTTACATATGATGTGCATCACAACAGCATTATTTTTATTAGTCTGAGTCGGTCAGATGTGCCTTAGAGTTGAGCCTTGATGTGAAGTCTTCCTTCATACAAACTTACATTGCTGATCATGATAAATGGATTTCTAGAACTCAGGAGAAATATATTGCAATGGTGATTCTGCATTGATGCATTCATGCTTACTTGTAGTTTCATGTGGAACACATCAATGATTATATAATATTACATATTGTTATACCTTTAACAAGAGGCCCATGGGCCACATCGCTCACCTGAGCACATTGGCTTGGCAAAAGCACAAATCAGTTCAGTATTGAAAAAATTACTGGGGAGGGGGGGGGGGGCTTGAATTTTAAACTACCTGATGATGCTTCCATGTCAATATAACAAATGGCTTTGTTGTACTTGAGAAGATTTTAAAAAAATTTCCCATATATTCCTTTGTAAAAATTTGATCCCCCATTGTGGCTCCTCCCTATCCCAGGGGTCATCATTTGAACAAACTTGAATCTACACTACCTGAGGATGCTTCCATATAAATATGACTCATCATGGCTTTGCTGTTCTTGAGAAGAAGATTTTTAAAGATTTTTCCTATATATTTCTATGTAAAACTTTGATAGTCCATTGTGGCCCCGCCCTACCCCCAGGGGTCATGATTTGAACAAACTAGAATCTACACTACCTGAGGATGCTTCCATATAAATGACTCATCATGGCTTTGCTGTTCTTGAGAGATGATTTTTAAAGATTTTTCCTATATATTTTTATGTAAAACTTTGATCCTCCATTGTGGCCCCGCCCTACCCCTGGGGGTAATGATTTGAACAAACTTGAATCTACACTACCTGAGGATGCTTCCATATAAATATGACTCATCATGGCTCTGCTGTTCCTGAGAAGATTTTTTAAAGATTTTTCCTATATATTTTTATGTAAAACTTTGATCCTCCATTGTGGCCCCGTCCTACCCCTGGGGGTAATGATTTGAACAAACTTGAATCTACACTACCTGAGGATGCTTCCATATAAATATGACTCACCATGGCTCTGCTGTTCCCGAGAAGATTTTTTTAAGGTTTTTCCTATATATATCTATGTAAAACTTTGATCCTCCATTGTGGCCCCGCCCTTCCCCCGGGGGTCATGATTTGAACAAACTTGAATTTACACTACCTGAGGATGCTTCCATATAAATATGACTCAGCATGGCTTTGCTGTTCTTGAAAAGAAGATTTTTAAAGGTTTTTCCTATATATTTCTATGTAAAACTTTGATCCTCCATTGTGGCCCCGCCCTACCCCCAGGGGTCATGATTTGAACAAACTTGAATCTACACTACCTGAGGATGCTTCCACATGAGTTTCATCTTTCCTGGCCCTCTGGTTCTTGAGAAGAAGATTTTTAAAAGATGCTATTAATTTTTCACTAATTCTTTATTATCTCCCCTTGAAAGAGGGCGTGGCCCTTCATTTGAACAAACTTGAATCCCCTTCACCCAAGGATACTTTGTGGCAAGTTTGGTTGAAATTGGCCCAGTAGTTCTGGAGAAGAAGATGAAATTGTGAAAAGTTTACAACGACGACGACGACACCGACGACAACGACAGACAAAGGACAAATTTTGATCAGAAAAGCTCACTTGAGCCTTCGGCTCAGGTGAGCTAAAAAGTGGTTTCTTTAAAAATCTATACTTAACAAAATGTCTAATATTTTCCATATTTTACTGAGCACTGAGTGAGATATTTGACCTGTTGATCATGTTGATAAAATATTGGACTGCTTAGTCACACAAAGATAAAAGGTATAACAAAACATTTATTGACTGTGTTCTAGGGCAAAATGCATTTTGACTACCCTCAGAACCAAACTGTTTGTCTTTGGCCTAACAGCCTCAGGGAAACAGTTTGGTTCTTGGGTCCAACAAAATGCATGTTGCCCTTGAACCCAGTTAATAAATGTATAATATTGCTAATTTGTCTGCAGGAAATGCCAAATGTACATAAGCTAAACAATGACATCTGTAAAAGGGTAAGTCACTTATAGTTTCACAGGGCTTAAAAAAAGATTACAAAGAGGTTGTACTTTTACAAAATAGAAGATACCCTACCTTGTGGAAGCAATTTTAATTCAAAATGTTATCAAACTTTTTCTCATAGAATATTTTGGCCAGTACAATCATATTTTCAGCTAGGTAAAGGTACTGGGTAGCAGCAGATTTTGCAAGACTTGACTTTCATGCTTATCATTTTTCAGTACTTTCAGTACCTTGATCATGTTGAGTAAGGATATATTAATGGTATATTGAAAAACAGTAAACATGGTAAAAGAAACCATACCTGGAAAGAAAATCTGATGATGCAGACCCAATTCTCATTGACATGAATTCCTCTTTAATGTTTCTCCTTGCTTGTATGAAAAAGTTTTCAATTTTTTCTATTTTACATGACATTATGATAGAATCAGAATCTTCATCAAAGCTACTCATGCATTTTTTTGTCGATTCGATCAGACATTCCTTTATTTCCAGAAGTTTAGTCCAAAATGCAGCACGATCTTTGATACCATAAAATTCCACTGAATACAAGCCTTCCAGAACAGATTTAGTTAACTCTGACAATTCTGTCGCTTTTTCATCGTAAAAGATCCCATAAGATTCTAATATACCATTATCCCATTTTGAAACATCACATCTGTAACTTTTGTCTCTTTCATAAGATTGAGATCGAGATCGAGTCAAATTGGTACTGTAACTGTCATCACTATCACAAGATTGAGATCGAGATCTTGGACTTAATTTTCTTTTTCGTGATAATACTGAAGAGGGTGACATTAGTATAAGGCTAGGATTTGGTGAACCTTCCATTGTACAAAATGGTGTTTTCTAGCACTTCTTCCTAAAAATAAATATGAGAGATCACTAACCCTTTATGATAACTGCTGGTACTGCTCTTTTGCAATTAATAGAGAGGTTTAGCAAACCAACGTGTACGCATACATGTACGTGTTCCCCCCGGAAATCTGTGCATTACGTCATCAGTTTTGCTAATGACGAATTTCTACACGTATCCACTTATGTGTAAATTACCGAGTACACGTAAGTCTAAACTTGTAGCCTATATTTCTATAACTGCTGTTTAAAATGTGTGCGTTTTCCTATAACCTGAAGGTTTAATGCATATACTGATATAAAGAACTAAATGTCTATGATTGAAAAATATAATTTTATCGAATGTTAAATACACAACATCTAGACTTTCAAAACAGGCTTTGAGGGATCAAAATTATAAGAGCTCTTTCCATTCTTTTTCCTATAAATATATGCATATATTTATTTAAAAGGGTGATATGCGTATTATTTAAATTTAATGTCTTTTCCATTTTTTTTTTAAATGTTAAGCACTTTTGCATTTAACAGGTCCAGCACAATACCCCGATAAAGGTATATAGCTTGATAAAGCTATATACCTTTATCAAGGTATTACAAATACCCTGATCAAGGTATTTTATGTAATGAAAATACAAAAAAAAATCCTAAAAAAATTAAATTTAAAAGTTGAATTATGAGTTGTAGTCAGTGTGTTCACTCGTGCATGAAAAGTACTCAGGTATCAAAAAGACGGTATAAAAGAACGTCTCCTCACATGACATGCTTTTATACTGATTCTTTGTGTTTAAGTACTTTACATGCATGAGTGAACTCAGAACTCGACTTTCAGTATTTATTTTTTTTAGGATTTTTTTGGTATTTTCATTACATAAAATACCTTGATCAAGGTATTTGTAATACCTTGATAAAGCTATATAGCTTTATCAAGCTATATACCTTTATCAGGGTATTTTGCTGGACCTGTTTAAAACACTTACAAATATAGGTACAGGATATACTTGGCTAAACTAGAAAAATAATGTAAACGTGTACGTGTAATTCTAACTTGTAGTATACACGTACATGTACACGTACAAGTGAGCTTATTAAATCTCTCTATTAACGTTTCATGAAGTTTTTGTTGGCAGAAAATTAGTTGTTTTTTAAACAAATGCTACCTCATCATATTCCACAAAGCTCGATCAATTTTCCTGCTCTGTTCAAAATGCAATTTTACATAAAAATATTTCGGGGCCAAATTATATATTGCCACTATTAATCATTCATTTGATAGAAGTTGCAGGAAGCAGATATACATTATTGCAATTTGTGTGTGTGTGTGTGTGTGTGATCACAGGAGTTCGCAATTTTATCAATAAAGTCAATAAAAATCACTCGATTGACCAAGCCATGAGCTATGCGTAGAGAGAAGGAAGAAAAAAAAGCCCCCGACACCGGCGGACCGGTGCCAGAGGCGGTAAGATAGAAGAGAGAGGGGGAACACAGGAGTTCGCAATTTTATCAATAAAGTCAATAAAAATCACTCGATTGACCAAGCCATGAGCTATGCGTTAGCATAGCTCATGGCTTGGTCAATCGAGTGATTTTTATTGACTTTATTGATAAAATTGCGAACTCCTGTGGTGTGATGCACTTTAACCTAGAGGTTGCGATCGCTCTTTTCTTAACATTTCCAGTTGCAATAAATTAAACCTTAGTAAAATTAGCTTTCTATGAGCCTACAGAAATTGTTTATACCTTGTCCATTAATGTCATCCACCAGGAAAGTATTGCAGGGAGAATACGACCCAGTACATTCTTCAGTCCGAAAAGACTCGGCAACATGTCAAATATCACAATTTATAGAGTTATCGTTCTTTGCCTAGGTAACGGGATGTTTCGCGCCATTGCATGATTCGCCCAGAGATGTTTCAGTCCAGATATATAAATGTACATTGAATTCGTTTAGCAAAAAAAAAGTAAATTATTTTACATTTGTAAATATAAAATATAAGTAATATATGTACATTTACATTTAAATAAAAAATATATAAGTAATATATGTACACCTGTGGAGAGTTTTTTCCCCAATTTTCAATTTTTTACCATTCTCAAGTATTTTTTTGTGTTTTGAAAAAAAATGAACAAATTAAAACATAAATCCGGAATGTTCTTTGTGTGTGTGGGTGTGGATGGGTGTGTGTGTGTGTGTGGGGGGGGGGGGGGGCTCTTCCAAAATTGTGAATTTCATGGCCCCTGGTTCAGGGGTTCTGTGTTTGGGTGGGGCTCCATTGATAATATTTATGTAATAGCAAAATGCATTTATTTAATGCTAAAAAAAATCTTCCCGTATGCCCCAGAGTAAACTAATTAAGTGCAATAATATAAATGTAAATATATAAATATAATTATAAATAATGTGGGGGGTTTTTTTAGTTTTCTCTGATCCTGGGTATATCTAGGAGGCAAACAGAATACAAAATTAATTGTCATGTGAAGTAAAGGAGAGTTACTCCCCTTTGCTAAATTGTTGTAATCAAGAAGTTCTCGTGTATAATTTAATTAAGAGGGTTTTTTTTGATTGAATGACAATACAAAAAGAATGTTATATATAGAAACAAAAATAAATGTTTGGTTTAACTGAGCAATGCATTCTCGAAGTCAGATTCTTGCCTGAAAAGTAATATAAAAGATTGACATAAAGGTTATCTATGCATATATAGAAAAAGGGCCCATTGCACACAGGATGTGCATGAACATGCATGGTGTTAAGTTTGACAATTGACGAGTTATTTAATTAATGAATTCAATGGCTACTCAAGTTATACTGTTTTTTTTATAACCTGGGTTGGAAGTTAATGTGGTTTATAAAAAGCGTAAACTGCTCCAACCTAGGTTATACGAGTAGAACTTGTGTAGCTTTTGAATTCATTCCTTATAATTTAATTTTCCAACAATGAGTATAGAAAATAAGACGTTGTTTCTTTCAAAAATTCCCTTTAACAAATTTTATTTTAAAAGTAACGTCAGGCGGATTGATCATTGTAACGTAGGAAACGCAGATTATACAACATGATATAAATTTATTTTTCTGTCCAATCAATTGGCGTGTTACAATCAGAATTGAATTATTGTCAGGTAAAATCATGGTTGGCAAGAGACTGCATAAAATCTTATTATACTTTATTAACGGGAACAAGTGATCACAGAGAGTTCGGGTGAATATGGGACAATTTAGTTGATGACAAGTGACAAATAACCGCGTTGTATAGGCAAGCCTCTCTTTGTGTACTCAATTGTAGCAGTAGGCAAGCGACAAAAACATATGTATATATTGAATACCTTACACACTAGGCAAGTGTCCATTGTATTTGTATATTTTGCATTCATTAATACCCCTGTAAGACTGTGTAAAACCAACTGCGATCACAGGAGATCACTCGGATCTCGCACGTTACACTAAGCAAGGGTATTTTTACCGAATCTTGGAATTCTCAGCAACATTGCTTCATCTATAGGTTAATCTTGTTTTTTTTTTTTTTTTTTTACTTTTATGGATCCTTTACAGTGTTGTATTAAACTCTGGTGACCGTCAAGGCCCTTGGGCATCTTGTTTATATAATATTAACTTAATAAAATAAATTGAACAATCACTCTATCACGTACACTATATGCCTCCTTGACCACCCAAGACGAGATGGCATCTGTCCTGTCTAAGGTCTTGCGAGGATTACTTCGCCTAGTTAAAAGAACAAGAGGCCCAAGGGCCTTAACGGTCACCTGAGAATAATACAACAATTTAGAAGATCCATAGAACATAAAATAAACTGAAAGATGAAGATTTGTTGCCCAAAAGAGAGAGAAGTAGGAAGATCAGGATCAACAAAATAATAAGTCTAATATTCAGTAACAACTCATAAATGAAGTTCTAATCTGTTCCCCATTTATCACTATCACCATGCACACTATTAATTCTGTTCTATTTTTAACCTCATATTATAACCTCTCACATTGGCCTCTCTTGGTCTTTGAAGAACATTTAATAAGGTAAGTTATTTTTGTCTCATTTTATAATCTATTATTTACAAGTCTACCTGATCATTAGAACTAAGAAAGTACTTCTTGTATTGTACAGTAAAAATTCTTGCATAATTCTCTTATTCTATTAACCTTTCAAATACATTATTTTCAGTCATTAATAATCACAGGTGAATGGCAAACTAGAATAACTTCTCGCAGTAGAATACAAATTAATAAAGCCCTGCCCGGGTCAGAACGCTTGACCAAATGATCCAGATGTTCAAAAATATGGTAAAAATACCCTTGCTTGTTAAAGCTGTTACTCAGTTTGCCTCCGATATGCCCAGAGGCAGAGAAGAATTTCACAGGTACAATGCATTTTCGCTTCAGATTCAGTTATTTACCCTCATCATCATAACAATGCACTTCAAAGAAGTAACACATTTCCACTATATTATCAATTACCCCCCCCCCCCCCCCAATTCCCGAGAAACACCAGAACCCCTGACCGTGGACCACACAAGTTTTGAAAATTCTGTTAGGAGCACCCTTGTTCTTCATGCATAACTATGCATTTTGTTTATCTGCGCAACATTAAATAATCTCCAAGGGCAGAAAAAACGTTTTAATGCATTTTCACTATATAATCAATAGAGCCCCGCCCTAACACCAGCACCTCTGATCCAGGGGTCATGTGGTTCACAATTTTGGAAGAGACCTCCTTGTTCATCATTACTATGTACTCTTTATGTACTCTATGTATACTTTTTTATTCAGAAGCAGAGAAGATAACATTTTCAAAGAATCAAATAATGCATTTCACTATATAATCAATATAGCCCCGCCCTTACTCCAGAATCCCTGGCCCAGCTAGGGGCTATGAAATTCACAATTTTGGAAGTGACATACTTGCTCATCATAACTATGCATTTAGTTTGTTTGCTGAATACCCAGGAGCAGAGAAGATTTTTTTAAAGGAATAATGCACTCTCACTATATAGTCAACACAGCCCCACCCTAGCACCAGAACCACTGACCCTGCATGGGGCCATGATATTCACAATTAAGGTAGAGGGTTCAATGCTTATTACAATTATGCCAACAGTTTGACTGCTTGATGTCCAGGAGTAAAGAAGATTTTTAAAAATTGCATTTAAAAATGGACTTTAGAGCTTGATTTCTGTTTGTTAACTCCATATTTGATGTATTTCTATGCAAGAGAAATACAGAGTCTTTTGTTTGTTTAAGATGCTTTTCGTTATGGCAACAGTCGCCATGTTAATGACGAATTTATAATGTTTTTACTGAAGGGAAAACTACTTTAAATTTGTAATGACATAACTGATCAGTTTATTGCAGCAATGGGAAATACAAACTGAACAACAACAACGCAAAGCAGTTAAGGCAGGGCAGAAGTTTGTGACATAAGGTACAGGCGTTTGATGCTGGTCATCTAAGATCTTTGAGTGAGTTAATAATGCTTTACTATGTGTATAAATATTTTTTTTTTAAATTATGTGATACAGCATTAAAAGAGAATGAAGGCGAAAAGATAATAGAATGGACGGGGTAAAATTCTGAAAACAAAAACAATAAATAACTCAAGGAAGAATACTAATTTATTTCAAAGGGATTGCTTATGTTACAATGGAAGACTGAATGACGTCATAATTACAAGTAAATGACGCAGCAAGAAGTATCATCCGGTCCTGTAAAAGAAATGTTCATTGTTACTAAGAAATAATGTTTCATTTTAAAACTTGCTATCGGTATGCAAATGGGTTGCATGGTCGTGCTCGAATGACTTTTTGGTATATTTATTCACGTTCGAACCGCATTTATATCCCAGTAAATGTTTAAAAATGATACGATATTTTAATGGGATAACCAAACGATGAAAAATTAATTTCAAATTATAGCAAAATTTTCTTCGAAATTTCATTTAACATTGAAGTATACTTTTTATTTAAAAAAAATACTAACTTTTTATTAAAAAAAAATACTAACAAGGTACGGTTTCAATACAAATCTTGCCCTGTTTTTTTTTTCTTAAAAGTGAAAGTGATGTAAAAAAAAAAAAAAAAAAAAAAAAAAAAAAAAAAATTCCATTCGGAAAGATCGCAGCTATGTTAAGGCTGTCCGAAGGCTTGATATGAATTAAAATATACAATTTATTATGAGCTAGATTTTAATTTCAATTTGTAATCTATGTATGAATTTGCAGTCAACTTGTGATGAGAGTGTAAAATGCATTTTTGTGATGTCACATGACTTTGTTGATCACGTGACGGACACTTATAAATTCCTAATTGTTGCACGAAAATCGCAACGCCACAAGTGCAAAACAACATTATTGAGAAAAAAATTGTCACATAAGTCAATTCATCGTGGTCTTTGGTACATATGAAGTGCTGGGGGCAGGTCTGAATTTTACTTCTTGAAAAAATATTCCACGAGAATTAAATTCAACTTACCAACATACAAGGGGGCATTTTCCCTTCTTTATCGCAATTTATACAAAATAGGATAAATTACATACAATCCCCCAGCAAAATTCAGTTAGAGGACATACTTCTCTAGTAAATTCACAGCGAATATCTACAATTTATCCTTATTAATCACTTGTGCCAGTCAAATATATGCACGATTTTTAAATTCTAGCTCTGTCCACGGACGTGTAAGGGGAAGCGTTTCACAGTCAATTTTTTGTTATTGTTTGAATATATGAATATCTGACAAGTTAATGGAATAACGATATCAAATTGCAAATGTTCAACATCATAACAGCACACTTTAGCTTAAAGAACAATCCAGACATTTGAATCAAACAGTAACGCTAAAAAATCTTTACATGTGTGAAAGGAATGTAAAAGTTATGACACTTTCCCCGTCATGTCAGCTCAAGTATGCAGTGACTTGACGTCATATGCTATTATGACGTCATATCTAGGTAGTTCAGAGAAGGTACTACAGTGGGAACAGTTTGGTATTTTACGGACAGCCTTATCCTAGCCGCGATTATACAAATCATTTTTCTTACGTGACCTTCTAAATGCTAATTGTGACGTCATAAACTTGTGCATTTTTCTGCATTTCCTTAAAAAGTGGCAGAAGACACCAATTTTCAATGGAATTTTCTTTCAGATACTATACTATATTATTAATATTGTCCACTGGCATCGCCCACAAAGATTTTGAGATATGTGATTTTTCAAAGAATTTTACACAATATATTAGAAAATTAAAGTGGGCGACGTCTGTGTTCACTATTTTCTTATGGAAAATAACATTTGAAATGGGTCACTTTGAGACTTTTTCTGATTTAAGTAGAAAAATGCATCAAATTAATGACGTCATTTTTCCCGAATGGTACTCCTTCATGCCGCATTCTTTCCTGTTTCATCAAATTCATATATTCAACTAATATTTAAACCAGTTTCAAAACTTTTTAAAAACATTAAATTTTTAGGACATAATATGAAATACCATGCTCACAGCAAATAGGACAAAAAATAGCAAAAAAGATCACTTTCTCATATTATATAAGTTTTTCTATATGAGTGCTTCTTCACCCCATTTGATTTTTTTTTTTTTTTTGAAAATTTATCCTCAAAGTATGTGTATAAATATACTTTTTTTAATTACCAAAAAATCTAGAAAGACCCTCTATACCTTGAAATACACTAGTCTATTACGACACAGCATTCGTATATTTCCAAGAAATACTTGAAGTTCATTTAGTCACTAGTCATAACACAAACATGATATATAAATGCGAGTTGTGTAGCACAGTGGTTAGTGAATTAGTCTCCTAGGAAAAGGTTACTGGGGATTTTTATTTCTAGGGTTTGAACCCCAAGAATACTACATCATTATTTAAGTATTTAAATTTTGTAGAGAAAATTTTGTTTGTTAGAATTTCATAAATTTCAATATTAAGAACTTTTCCTAAATGCTATTTATTCACACATTGAAATTATAATTTTTATTTATCTGAAACTATAGACATAATGCATGTCTTGTTTGCCCATCTGTTTTGCCTGCTATAGTCCTAAACCTATGAAATATATATTTTTTTTAATTTCAACGATATAAATTAATATGTTGATAACATTGACGACTTATGACGTCGTTATGTCTAAACAACGAATTTATGGTCATGAGACGATTTTTTTAAACACAGATTTAAATACGCTTTGTTTAAATATTGTTATATAAGAAAAAACATTTGCAAAAGTAAATATTGCATATTGGTTATGAAAATTTCTATCGTATTTATTAATATTTACTTTTGATCAAATTAGCCAAAAAATGATGAATATGCACATGCTTTTTACATGGTTTTTTTTCCCATTGTAAACAGGGTTACTTTCGGTCCGTTTTATTTTGCCTATTCACTCTTTTGCCTTCATTTGCCTTGTTTTAACTTAACTCATTCGAGTAAAAGAAATCACTATTTCAAATTCTACACGTTTTATTTGCTATGGTGGCAAAATAAATTTTGAAAAGATTCTTGAATGTAGAAATAACCTATTTCAGGCACCAGAAGAAAAAAAAAATTTTTTTGATTTTCTATTTTAACAGGGGAATAAAACTATGAACAAATGCACGTTTAAAAGAGTGTTAAAATCAATAATATAACTAAAAAGAATATGAAGTCTCTTGAATAATGCATGTAAATATAAATCATGTTAAAACAGTAGAGCTCTTTATATACTGTTTCCACTCATTATTGAAATTTTAAATGAGAAATTTATTTTTTCTAATAATTTTTACTTAAATATGATCTGTTCTAAATGAAAGAACATTGTACATACATGTATTCTAAAACATTAGAGGTAAAGGAAACATATATATCAATGCATTACCTAACTGGCAATGAGTCTTCCTGGTCGTTTGAGTTTACAATGAAGGGGTGAAGTACAACCAGCCTCTGTACAAAAATAACATTCAAAAACATGAAAAGTGATTCAAAAAAATACTATAATTAGGATTGTTCACCAAAGTCATGATCCATTCTCTTTTCTTTCAAAGTACTATTTTAATTATAACTCTTTTAAAAGCAACACCACAACAACTGGGAAGTTAATATTTTTTCAGTTTGATATTGTACAGAAAAAAAAAATATTTCATACGTAAGATTGATAAACAGATATACCTTTATATATTGAAGGGCTTGTTACCTGTGGAATCAAAAAGGACCTTGAACCTCACAGACGTCGAACCATAGCGGTTTCGCGTGCGAAGCTCGTACTCTCCAGGCCTGAAGGTAGGGCTATAGAAATGGATTCGAAGAATCTGCCGACTTTTATTATGTATTATCCAAGTTACTGGAACTTCAATTTCGCCAGAGTAATAAAGCTTGATTTCATCGGTCAGAGTTGGATCGGTTTGATAGAAGTCGAGTTTTGCTGTATAATCTTTCTGGCAGCAAACCTCGCAGTTCCGACCAAGGTTCAGCGATTTGTTTGGATAGTTTACAGTTATCAATGGTAGCACTAAAAGTATTTTAAAACATAGTGAAATGAAATGTGAATTGAGAAAAAAATTATTGATTTTTTTTTATTTCGAATAAACTGAAATAAAATAAAGTACACAGCTTACGCGGGTAATGTGTTTGTTGCGCCGGATGGAAGCAAGGGTCTTTATATATCTCATCCTTTCATTAAAAAAAGAAACATTTTTAGAAAAAATACGAAGAGTGATAAAATTCATAAAACCATAATGTTATGAATGAAAAAAAAATTAAAGTAGATAAGTAATTCATTTATCAGAAATCTTCCATTATAGTTCTCATTTCAATTCCTGCCAGTGATGATGGTAACCCCGTGGGGGAGTTTGACAGACAGTTGCTGCAGACCTGTAGCTCTCTGTTCTGACAAAATGGGGATTTACGACAAGAGAGCTATTAAGGTGGCACACAATGAAGAACGTAATATATAGAGGATATTCAATGTTTTGTAGATGAATATGAAATTTATTTCACGAGTGGGACAGGATTTTTTGATATTTTCACGAGTGCGAAGCACGAGTGAAAATATCAAAAAATCCTGTCTCACGAGTGAAATAAATTCCATATTCATCTACAAAACATTGAATTTTCTGTTTATTACATTTTCTTTGATTTTCCCTTTGACTCTGTCTTTTCGTAACAGGGTGTCATAGGCTATGACGTCATAGTTGAGCGGTTGAGACGTCATATGATAGCTATAAGCGATTGCGAGATTGAAAAACAAATTTTTAACAACATATTGGGAGAAACTTTGGCAGTTTTAGTCTCTATCAAGAGGGTTTAGTTAATATCTCTTATGACAGGCCAGAATTTTTTTAAACCTACTTTTGATATCCATTCACACTGTGAGAGAATATCACTTTGGTATCCTTTCACACTGTGAGAGAATATCACTTTTATTCAATAAATAAATCACAGTATTTCACCGTTGAAAATGTAATAAATGTTTATTTTGCACAAAAAATGCGCGATTTTTCGATTTAGTTCTCCGTACATTTAAATTACCATCCTTTTACTTTTTTTCACAACAAAACATTTTCCATATCCGTCGTTAATACATGTAACCCTCCTGGGACTGCAATTGGATGTAGCTACGAGGTTTTTTTTTTAACCTAGGGCGCAGTATAGCTCTTCCGTCCGCCAATATTTTTTTTTTCCTGAGGAGCTTCAATCTGCCATGTCAATGACCATGTGCATATATCTTCCAAATTTTAATCACACTTTTTCTATTGATTGTTTTAATCATTACTTTTATGTTTTTATGTTTCGGAAATCATTGTCTAGATTTTGTCTAGAAAGTATAAACTGTGCTTTTACGATTTAACCCCCATTGCTGTACATGTATTGGGGGTATATTTGAGCGTAATCCTTTTTAATTGCATGTCAAATATACCATGCCATAGCATACAATATAATACATTGTTAAGTTTTGATTAACGCCTATGCTCAATCATTCATAAAATATTTACTGAAATGTAAATGGTAAAGTTAAGATGACTGTAGAACATTGTCATAACCGTTTTGAATAATATACTCAATTAATACGAATTTAAAGTGCACTGTGATAAATTCAATATTAATATTACAGAGAAAAGCACAGAATTAATACATGACTAAAGATATAAGCAAATCTATCAAAAAAAAGACAAAACAAAAAACAAAACAAAAACAACAACAAAAAACCAAAAAAAAAAAAAAAAAGAAAGAAAGAAATTTTTAAAAAAAATTATGAAATTACCTTTAATGCAAAGTCAATTGTAAACATGCTGAAAATATTCATCGCCACCGAGGTCATAAAAGTGGGAAGTATCCCAAGAGCCATTTTGGTTGTGTCAACGCGCAAGATTGACTATAACCTAATGACAATTATTGAATTTATACGAAAACATATAACCACGTGACATTGCTCCGATTGTCATGTGACAACATCGCTTGTTCTTTTTTCCCCTTGTTAAATAAATTAAAACGCAAAATATACATGTATGATAGATATTATAAGCTAAATGACATGAAATTATAAAGAAAGGAAAGTTTTTATCATGAGAAATCAAGACATGCGCATGCAGTAGTCATTTAAAGAAATTTGAAATGCTGGAAATTTTAAATGCATTAATGTTGTTGAATATTTTTTATCTCGTGTACATTTTGTAAATGAGTACCTTTAGAAAATAAAATTTTTAAATTGTATTTCAGGCTATCCCTGTTTTACAAACAATAGGTTTCGGTTTTTGTTTAGTTTTATTTTTTTTTTCTTTATTTCTTTAGATCGAAGACTGATTTACCATTCTTTTTGACACTGTCTCAAGCATTGTGAATTCTGATTTCTGGCTTGGTTAGTTTTGAAAAGGAGGAAAACATTACTGTGATATTGCAAGAACTTTCAACACATTACTGCGACTTTACTCGACTTTAATTAGTTCTTCTCCAATTAAAATTTTTATTACAAGGACAATTTTTCAGTTTTGAAATAGCAAAATGAAGAGAATGAAAATATCGAGCAGAGATCGATAAAAAAAAATACAAAGCAGATCTGTAAACCAGACATAAAACACGGAATATTTGACATTCCAGAGATGGGATCAGGTACCTAAAAGGACAAAACATCCCCGCTCTACCGGTCACAACCGCCTTGAACAGTATGTATTAATCAGATAGACACAGTAATCCGTAGTCAAATTTAGTATAAAAATAAAGGTGTAAAATTTGATCTGAAAAATGTCAGTCAAAATATGACCCAAATAGGTTGTATTTGCTAGCAAAGTTATTATTATGACCGTAGAATTTACGAAATGCTGACACCACTTAACAAATTTGTTGATGTTGATTTTACACTAAACATGTTTAGTTCTATGAAAGAAAAGAAAACGTTTGCATGGACAAGCAATATTATATATCCTAAATCCGGATTTTGAAAATCTTGGATTTTAACAAAAGATTTTTAGAATAAAGATTTTTATTATTTGCAGAAATGTTTGATCATCTCTAAAACATTAGACCTGAATCTTGCTAACAGGTTGAAAAAAATGTGTCTCTTCTTAAAGTGCCTACGGTATAATCCCATTCAATTTCTCTCGATTGTATCCCAGCATGCACTTATATCACTTATTTTGATTTAAGACCTGATTGACAAATCCAGATTTACAAATATTAACCACACTGATAAACAAGATGTATGATTAGGCCAATAGTACAAACTTGTATATTTTCTAATGTATTTTAAGACAGATGTTAGGTTATCAGGAATCATCAGCATAAAACTCACATAACAGTAAATATAATCTTTCCTGCAAGTGCAGTTCAGTTGATCTATGATTAAGGCATCAGGCATCAACAGGCTGATTGCATTAAAAACAAGTTATTTCCTTGATAAGACGTGAATAAGAAATAGTCCTTTTGAGGTTTTCTCACAAAACTCATCAATAAAGTGTAAGAATCGTAAAATCGTATCCTACATCCTATTTGAAAGGCTCTCCCTGCTTGTCGGTCGTATGTTACTAAATTTGCTATAATTACAAGCAAAACAACATGTCCCCTTCAAAACAAGGTCATAACGCTAGAAATTTTGACAACTATCTTAGAAAGTACTTCTTCAATTAAAATGGAAAGATTTTTTTCCATATATTTTTTATGGAGTCATCTAAATGTTCAAGTTATACACAATTTAATACTCTGAAGTTGATAATAAAGAGATACATGAGTTCCTGATAAACAAAATCTTTGTAGTCTTTAAAAGACTTTATCTTTCCAAAATCTATTGCGATTTCCATGAGAGCCAATTGTGCTCCTGTATTGGCGTCGTTTTAAAACTTCTACATATTAAGGGAAATTGAATTCTTGCTGAGACCTTTAGTTTAGGATAAACTATACTTCATTTACATTATACGTCATATGTACTCAATAAATAATGCACACCGGATTCGGAAACAAGTTGTTACAACTTATATTAATTCTTTAGTTTGATATTAAGATATATCGAGGGCGTTTTATCAATTAAGAAAAATCACATTGATTCACAATATGGCCCGATATATCCCTGTGAATTCTAAAGACACCACTTGATAGTGCTAGTTTTCTTATCAAGAAATATTTTTTTTTCTTAACATTCCATGCATTTGATATGACATCAGCAAATGAAGTTATTATTTTAAAAAAAAAAAAAATGTCACGGGATATTCTGAATAAAATAACGCCATAGTTAGATTGACCAAATATTAATTGATAAAAAAAAAAAAAAACAATTTATTGTTATTCAAAAAGAAAAAAAATGACATTTCCTGTTTGGGGAATCTAGTATAGGGTTGTCATACTATTTTATACTTTGAAATTGTGTGTTATTTTTAAATATATGTCGAACAGTGGAAATGCTGTTAATTATGAGTAAGATTCGTTTTTACCGATGTAAGGCAGCTAAATCAAATTTAATGTAAAAGCGCGAAATGTCGCGTTAATCCTTGTGTACTCTTGCATCCCGGATGCACTTTTTACGATATTTTATGATATTGTTATGATATTCAATGATTTTGACTGATAAATAAATTCAATTTAAAAGAGACATAAATCTCCCTTTATCTTTTTCCCGGCCTGTTGTTTATGTTAAATGACTGTCTCACATCTGTTTTTATTACATTAATCTCAATATAACTCAACAAGTACAAGTTTGTTTAATATTTTTGGACTGATTTAAAATGATTTTTAGCTTATTGATCCTTAACATATCATTACGTATGTACTTTTCCATCATTGATCTGATATAGAGCAATGATTAAATTTTAATTTACTTTTAAACGATATTTTTCCGGAATTATTTTCTTTATTGTAGTCCATTTTTAACTTTTACTATACAACTCTGTGAGTCTGATTCTTATTGTCTGATTTGGGGGGGGGGGGGGGGTCCTTATATTATATGTGCATCATTTGTTGTCACAGAAAATGCACTATGACCAGAAAAAATATTTTCTGAGCTTGGTATAACGTCAACAAAACATCAATTATTCAATTTGCAGAGCATAATGAAGAAACAAGAAAGAATGTTTTACACAAACTCTTGCAATAAATATACATCTGTAACGGACTTAAACAAAAACAACTTTCGTTAATCTATCGAATTATTTTGTTTTAGAAAAAGACGAATCTCTATAATTCAAAATTATATATGCAATATTATAATACAGATATTTTGTTCCATACGTTTTAGATCGTTGTGTATTAATAATCTAGACCTTTTCCTGATTATATTCTTCAGGGGGCGAGGAAGGAGACATAGGGAAAATATTGGTATGATAGTTTTGATTATTCAATTAACTTTGAAGGTATCGTACATAATTTATGTATATTCTTGTGAATAAAGATAACGATTTTTATCTGGTATTTTTTCTTGTATTGTCATGTCATAAAACAAAATAAGTGCATTTAAAAAAAAAAATCTTGTTACCATTCATCAAAAAGTAATTTAAACAACCTTATTGGAATTTCGCAACTTACAGTATACAAACTACATTTATCATTTCAAAATAGACAAAAGTTGTATGAAGAAATAACATTGCTATGCAGTCGTTCGATTTCGATTTATAAAAAAATATAAATATATTTATATTTAAAACACATTGTTTGTTATATACATGTCATCGTATGCTAAATTGTTAACTTTTGAATTTATTGGAAAACTGACTATTAATATGTGCAAGTTATAATCGGTTTCATTTCAAATATTTTGAATTAAAAAAAAGGAAACCGATGACAAAAAAGAAAAATATGTTTAGGTACATATATATATGTACCGATATCAATATGCCAATATGTAGGTTAGCTGCAGATCGCGAACTGTTATGGTTTTATATTTAAGTCTTTGACCATAACGCAAATATGGTGCAATTTACGTCGCAAGAATTTCTGCTCACTTTGGGGATGTATTTCGCCACTTTCCAGCATTTGGTCAATCAGCAACATTTCATATATTTTGTATGTATATCTTATCCACCTCCTAACCCTTTCTTGTCTCTACAGACCAATAGACTCTCTTGTTGTGAATTTGTTGTCAAATGGCATAAAAGTCACGACAAACGAGTTTATTAGTCTGTACAGACGACTAGAAAGGATAAGAAGATGGATAAAATATACAGATCGGTTATAGAATGTGTCTAGAATTACGGAATGAAAAGTAGTTGATTGACAAATGATGTAAAGAGGCGAAATACATCCTCAAGGTGCGCAGAAAATCCTGCGCCGTAAATTGCACCATATTTGCATTACGGGATCTGTAGCGTTATGGTCAAAAACTGAAATATAAAACCATAACGTTATAGGTCTGCAGCTATATGTATGTCTGACTCTTATACTATTTGGTTCTATATGTACGAGGGTTAATCAAAAAGTAACTGCTATAAACCTTAATTAAAGGAAGTCATCTGCAAAATTTGATATACTGATACCTTTATATATTTTTACTGTTGAAAAAAAATCCGTTCAGTTATAAATAACACTTTTTGAAATTAGATTAAAATTAAATTAAATCAAAAGTAATTAATTAATTAATGATAAACGATACTTTTTTATGTCTATCACTGCATAATAACAGCTGTATTTGCGTCTTTTGAAGTCACTTTTCGTCACTAATTTTCAATTCATCCAAAAATCTATCACATAACGTCTTGCTTTGAGTTGTTTCATCAAATTTATTTGAACTGTTCTGCTGTTGTTGTTATTTTACTGTTAGCAAGGCGATTCCCTCCAACTTCTTCCTAGCATCTTTTGACTCCCATTTACAAAGGAATTTATATAACTTTATTAATCATTGCAAAGGTTATTTTACCCTTTTTGTAGTGAAATGGTTCGTCTTCAAGTATAAGGGTTTAATAAGGTATTAGCCTTTTCAATATTTCATCGGAAAAAGAAGAGAGTGGGCGATGAGTTATTCCAGATACATGTACATGTATGACACTTACTTTTGAATCGAACTGTACAAGGGGACTACTATACATCAGAATGAATATAGAAATAAACTAACAATTCAAATAGTTTTTATAAAACAATTTGAAGCAAGATGCATGATAGGAAAATGGGTGTAAAGATTATTTAAAAGGCGTCAAAATTAGGATGTGTAAGAGATTGAGTAGATTTGTGGTTGATCTGAAAATGAATGCCGAAAAATAAATTCAAAAGATGTCTGTGACATTAGACATCACCTTAATTGTATTTATATTTTTAAAAAGTATTACATTTACTTACTGAAATTGTAGGCAAAAATTCAAACTGGATAGAGGTGAAATCTATCATTTGTTGATGGCATCCTATCATTTAAAATTTTAAAACAGTTGAGGCATAACTTTAGGACTAACTCTCGTACTTTAGTGATAACAAATGAGAAATGGTTAACGCCAATTTAAGCATAGAATGAGTGATATGCTAACCAAACTAGAATCTATATTTATATTTTACCAACGAGTTCTTCTCTTCAAGCTATGGACAAACCAAAACACAAGTTATTCAACATTTTATAATTAAAATAATGTTATCAGAAATTTAAGAGATTCGGCTCACAAATAAAAGGCATTTTACAGATAATTTAAATTTTGTCTTGTCTAATATAAGGACTGCCTCATGATTCCAAGGCCAGACCCTCTTACAGACATTATGGTGCCTAATTCATGATTTAATCTTCGTATCATATATATTTGGTATGATTTAAAGTTTTAATTTTTCACAGTTTATGAGATGAAATAAAGACCTCTTGGCAATTTGTGCCCTTTTATTTTCTTTGATCTACACAGTTTTTTGTAAGTTCCCTGAGTTTAGTGTTCTCTCCTAGGAAATATAAGTACAGAAAGGAAAGTTCTTCTCCGTCGTTAGAAGTAATTTTAATTTTTTATAAACGATTTATCTAATCAGATCAACCAAACAAAGGCAAATGATTGATCAGTAAGTGTCACGTGGTTAATGTGCTTGTTATATAGATGCGTTTACAGAAGTTTTAACGTATGCTGAGAATTGGTCGTCATGTTAACTGTCGATGTCGTTCTCACTCTGCGATTCTTTTCGCTGTTTCACAATTCTGGCCTCAATAACTTGGTATGTTATTTTCTTTCATGATCCCAAACGGGCGTCTCATTTTTAGTTTTATTTTTTTTTTCTCTACTTTATCTATATGTTAATTTTATTGTATGGTTTTCCTATATCTTTATAACATCCTTGTACTATTTATTTATTTACTATTACTAGTTGTCATTGATTTTTATCTATAACTTTGGGGGGGGGGGGGGTCTTTGTTATAATTACAGTAAGAATCCTGGATAATTTGATTTAATGCGGTAAATACTTTCGAATATAAATGTATTATTGATTGTGGCTTTTAGATTTGTTGTATCTAAGGAAAATTATGTCATTGATATCATCAATGAACATAATGTATGGGTATGCAACGAATAATACCTTTAAATAGCCTAAAATCGTATTGATCTAATAAAGTATCTTTACTTTCAGTGTAATTATATTATTTACTTTCATTCACTGATGCAAGAGTTGTTACTATCAACTTTCCGTCATTAATATACTGAAAATATAAGCACTTAGAAAGGCACAATCATGTTGTTTATGTATATAGAAAAATATCCATTATCATTTCATTTTCGACAGGGTGCAATGTATGGATTTTTTTTTCTTATTTTGTAGACGAACTATGTTACACCAAGAGCCTGCTATCTGGCAGATTCTAACGATTATCGTAAGTTCTTCCTTAATGTCAGTTTAGACAGAACTTCACAGAAGCAAGGTTTTCTATGAACAAACAACTTAAAACAACAAAAACCAAAGACATTTAGCCACGAAAACAATAACATGCAGGATTAATTCTTTATTTCTAAAGTCATACTTTCTCTTTCAGGTGTTCCTCAGCTTGAGTTACTCAACAAACAAGAAAGATGTGTCGTTAAATGCCAAAGATACCGAAACGCTATTATTCGCTACAATATACGACCCCGCTACTTTCCTATCGGAGGTATCAACTACAATGTTGTTTGTGATGGATGTGATGCGAATTTGCAAAGCCTCGTTGGTATTAAGGATCACTTTGAATATGTACGCGTCCAATGCCTAGGAAACGATGCAGACACTGGAATCTACGAAATGGAAGTATCCACAGAGTATGGAAAGGGATACTCTTCTGTATACATACAAGCAGAGCGTAAGGTTTTCTATGTTATCCTTGATTAATAACATTGTCTTGTCATTATTACTTCGTTTGATGATATGAAATTTATATCTTTCAGTAATGGAGGCATTCACGGGTAGGCTCAAGCAACCCTCCGGACCAGGTCAAATCTTGTTTGACAACATTGAGTTGAACGAGGGATACTCATATAATAAAAGCACTGGGATTTTCAAAGCCAAAAGGACTGGGTATTATTCCTTCTACATGATGGCTAGAACAGAGTCTGATCGTTATGTCATGATGGAACTTCGAAAGAATGGCGTCAGAGTGGGCTCCATAACCAATGACGTACTGCCTGACCACAGCTGGGAAGTTGAAGATGGAGCTAATGCTCTGGTTTTAGCCTTGAAGGAGGGAGATGAAACGACGGTTTATTCAAATGGAACTTTGCAGGAAGGCTCTACATTATCCTTGTTTTCACTGAGAAGTAAGTTTTAAAGACGCATTTTAGGGCTATTGGATAGTTGGTGGCATAGAAAATGATATTCAATATAATTTTACGTATCAATCCAAAGTTTAATACGACTGGTCTTCTTATTGAGATTTCTAGCTTTATTATTTGGTAAAAATAGTTACTTTTGTAATTAAATCCGCACGCAGTTTTTGTGGTCAACGGTTTATCAGGCACATACAGTATATTGTAATTCAATAAAAGAACTATGAAATACTGAGTACCTGTAAAGTAGGGAAATATGTACTAGTATACCTCACTGTTAGCATAAAAGTAACCATTTGGAATGTTTTTGTATCTGCTTCAGTTGTTTTATGTTATGTGGGTAAGACTTGAGAGTCCCCTACTACTGATACAGTGTAAGATCACTCTGTAACCAGTCTAACTTTCCTTCAGGTCTCATGGAGTCCCCTCAAGAAGTTCTTTATGCAACTGTCCCAGACGGTACAGTGATACAAGGTGGTCCGTGGGAACACATCGCTTATGATGACGTGCACATCAACACTGCCCAAACTTTCACAGCGAACACAAATTACACCGTGGCTAGCTCCGGGTATTACGTGGTCAGTATGACGACTTTTCTACTGGACTCAGCTATACACGCCTCTTATCTGGATGTCCGATTCAAGATGATTCACTACTCCACCTTATCTGTGTCCTCTCGAACCTCCAATTCATATACGTATATGGCCAGATATAATCAGGGTGACGTCATACAGAACCAATTCTTTACTTTCAACACGACACGGATGTCAAATGAAAGTTCTCTTGCACTGTTCAAGTATTTTGAACTGAATGGTAAGAAATTTTTCCTTCTTTTAAGCTTGAATTGCTATTTTCTATTTTGAAATATTTGAGCAAGACATATTGTACATGTAAAAGGCTAAATAAGATGGGTTAATTCAATATGATGGATATGTTTATGCTATTTAAGCAAAATCCTTTTATCAATTGTAATGACTGGTTTTCATGTGATAAAAACAAATTAAAACTCTATAATTGATTTTTTTCTTTCCTTGATATAATCAAAATGAAATAAAATTATTGGTTTAAACATAATTCAAGTTTAATATTAACAGACTTCTTTATAACTTTTAATGTTTGTAATTTGCAGAAACCGATGTGACTGTAATTACAGTTAGACAAAAGCCATTTTATTTGGCCTGTGAACAAGAATTTTGTAATCCATTTGCCAATGGAGCCGTATATGAAAACTTGGGTTCCGATTTTGACCCCATTTCTGGAATCTTTACGGTGCCCCGTTTTGATGCGTACCTCATTTCAGTCAATTTGTTCGCGACCCAAGTGGACACAATATTTCAGATACTTGTCGACGGTGAAGTAACGGATACCATACACTGTGATGGACCAACAAATGATAACTTCACTAATGACAGCAAGCTAGTTCTTATTAAGCGTCTTAAAGAAGGTCGCACAATAGAGGTGAAAATGAAAGGCCGAGCTCTTTTCTACTCCATGCTGTCTATTTGGACTCTGACTGCCTGATCTGAAAACGTGGCCTGAAAGAATTCCAAACAGGGTTTTGAGTCGGATGAAGCTGATTTTTGTCAGGTTTTGTTCTTCTTGTATTATAATGCGCATTTTTTTCCTTTAAAATGCTATGGAAAGAAGAATACTGCGAGTTTTTAATCGAAAATTTTAATACAAAAGTTATCAATGGTAAATGGAAAATATATTATGAAATATGTTTATGTGCTTATCGTACGATTTTATTAAAAAATGTAAAAAAAAAATGTCTAAATAAAACACTTTATTATATTAATTTGTCGTTGAGTCAATAACCTCTCTCTCTCTCTCTTTCTCTCTCTCTTTCTCTCTCTCTCTGGAATAAGACGTACACTCGGCCCCAAAACCCACTCTATCAAAACTGTTCTGTTAAACTTATTCTAAATCATTGAACTCTCCTCAAAGAACAAAATAAGAAATATATGTATTAAAATAACAAGTTCAGTTTGTTTAATTCATGCTTTAGGGGGTTGGAAGCCATAATTTGGGAACAAATATATAGATAAAAATTGTTAAAAATCTTTTTAAGGCTATGATTAAAAATATGCATGCGAGCATTCTCAGAAATTTCTGAAACAAGTTTGTTCAAATCATGGTCCAAGGGGGTAGGATGGATTCGTCAAAGGAAAACGAAGTTTTACTTGGAAGTATGTGTAAGCCTGAAATTTCTTCTTTCAAGAACAGCGGGGTCAATATAAGTCGAAACTGGGAACCAAAGTTTTGCATTGGTATATGTAGGAAAGCAGTTCTAAAAAATTCAAGAACAGCTAGGCCAAAAACAAATTATTGTGGGGTATCCCCAGATGATGCGGATTCAAATTTACTGGGAACTTCAAACCATGATTTACCTGAGGCCACATTCAGAGAAATAACTGTAGACTATAAATGTACTGCTGGGTACAAGTCGCCCTGCCATTTGCTGCGACAGTACCTTTGAAGTTTTCTGATTAAATTAAACTTCATAAATGGAGAAAAATCTTCAGTGTGAATTCACATCTTTTTAATTCATGGTCCCTGCGGAAAAGGCTAAGATTGGAGATTTAAAAAAATGTTTTCAAAATTCAAACTGGGGATACATAAAACATGTGGAACAGAATTTATTCAAAAATTTTTACATGAAAAAAAGAGGTCTCTTGCTGAAACCCTCAATTCAACATTTAGTTATATCTACGACGTTTTATGAATTAACAATATTCATTTTTCTTCCTTCGTTGATTATCGTCTTCCTTGTTTGTTTGGGTTTTTTTGGTTCGTTTGTTGTTTGACGTCCCTTTCGAGAATTTTTCTCTCATAAGGTGACGCCACCACTTGCCGATGGAGAGTTGCAAATTTTTGACCTATACTCGGCACTTCGGGCCATTGAGCAGTGGGGGATCTTTTTCGTGCCAGCACCTACTGCGACACGGAACCTCGGTTAATACGGTCTCATCCGAAGGACCGGTCTCCACTTCCCACAGTGGGATTCGAACCGGCGACGTAAGGATCAACTCCTTACTCCTATACTCTAGAGCTAATGTCTGTTAAAAACTGATGAAATGATGGAGAGCCAAGAAATGCACAAGAATTATACAGTCTGAAGATGTAGATCAGTTTACTGTTTAAGGTTATTCCTAAAGACAGCAAAGCTTTTTGAAAAAGCTATACTTGATCGATGTTAAATATTCCACTGAGTCTGGCACATCATTTTCACATTTGGAAATTTTACTAGAAAAAGCCGTTAGTGATAACCTAAAAACAAAATTACAGGATAAACGTGATGATTTCAACTTTTCTATCGTCAACTCCCCCTATTCATGTAGCAGTATACCATTATTGCATACGAAATATAAAACGATCGTGGCAAGCTTTAGACAATTTGGTGAAACAAGAATATCTTCGGAAATACGATGCCCTTGTCAGGAAATACAGTCTATCGGTAAGTCAAATGCTGAGTGACGTTTTTCATACAAAATGTTAGACCATTATTTTTCCCATTGAATTGTCTACGGATTTTTCCGTTTTCCCGACCATGACAATGAGCACACGGCGGGTGTGACCGGTCTGCACGGGATGCTTACTCCTCCACTGCATTTGATCCCACCTAGCTATGATGTTTTTAGAGGTCCGTGTTTGCTCTGATACAAATTTGTATTGTTTTAATGGATTTTTGAGCTTGATTACTGTTCGTTATCGTCATATTTCATAAGGCATCAAGAGTATCTAAGCAACACAAAATCACATACTAGTATATTGATTTGGAAATAGTCCAAAGATTTTCAAGCGCGTATCCAGAGGGGGAAATCCCACTAGAATTTTCAGTTTATTGATTTCTTATAGTAAAGTAACCAAAATATGACACTGTGTGGCAACTCGGACTAATGGTAAAATGGTAAGGAGAGTCATATGACGTATATGAAGGAAATTTAAGCGAGTTACCACCCCCCACCCCCCACCCTTCCCACTTTTAATGAAATAGTTTATAGTCCTAGTAAAAAATTCCTATACCAGCGCATGATTTTAGTCTATACAAATTATGGACAATGGGACTCTTGTTGGGTTAAATTTTCCACATAATACATGAGAAGGGGAAAAAATCTTTGAAAATTTTCCAGAGCAGGAAGGGCAATAAAGTCATATTGATATTCAGCATCGCAATGTTGTGTGACTTTGACTTTGAGTTCGGAACCATGAAAAAAGTCATAATCCCTTGGGGCAAGTGTAACAGGTTTTGATATGAAATAAAATATGAGCCTATTAGAGAGTTCTGGACAAGACTTTTATGTGCATGGATGTCAATCAAAACCTTGGAATATTAAAAATATGACAAATGTAAAGGAGGGATTCTTCTCATACTTCTTATTTATGAAAATTAATGAAATTTTCATAGATTCAAGAAGACAATATCACGAAGTGATGGTATCAATTAATTAGATTAAATTTGATCTTTTTTTATTTTAGAAGCAAGGTCAAGGTCATTATCTTTATCCTTGACATTAAGAATTAAAAAAAAAATACTGTTGCCAGTCATGTGATGCCTACTTCTATTTCAAAACATTAAAATATTTTCTTTTGCATAAAAAGATATTAACATATAGGGTCTATCAGATCATACTACCAGACTGACATACATGATGATATAATTAAAGTAGATATATTGGCTAATCCGAAATTCCTCTATTTTTCTTTAATTTTTCGGGAATGTTAGCTATTATTATATGCTTCGTATATTGAAATTTTACTTATTTTCAAATATGGTAGAGTAGTGATATAAAGATACGAAATGATAAAAAAACAAAAAGTTTTGAGAGAGAAAAATAATTTTTACAGATTTTTGCTCCCATCTGTTCTAGATTAAAAGCTTTTAAAAGCTAACAAGATTGTAGTTTGTTTGGAGATTCAAATTGATTTGATATACATGTATTTTAAAACTTTAGTACATTGTTATTAATTTTAGATACTAGTACACTAGAAAATTCTTTAAATCTTTGATTAATGGTTAAAAAAAACTATTTTCATTGTACTGTGGTAATTTTGATAAACAGAAAAGGAGATATTTTCATGCGCCGCCGTTCTGCCAAAAATATAGTCCCTATCAAATTTCAAACTCAGTTTACTATTTTTATTTAAAGTTGTAAAGTTATGAGTAGAAAAGAAAATAATTATGATCTTTTAAATTCCTTATATCTAAATATATAAGACATATAAGCCATTATACTTTGAATGTTTCATTTAGTCAGAAGCCAGACACTAATCCTTCCATAAACATTGAAATAATATACAATGGTGATTGTCAAGGGAGAAAATTCCTTATACATTGTACATATAATTCAATTATATATTTCTCAGCAATTAAAGAATAATAAATATCCTGTCACAAAAGCTTTACAATAATTATTATTATAAAATTTATGAACATATTGATTAGTGTTGGGGAAATACATTGTATATTACATATGCAAAATTGCAGATTTGACATTCAACAGATACATGCATATACAGGATATAAGAGTAAATATTAATATTAGTAATATTTATTTTTACTTACCAGAAGTTGAAGAAATACCAGTCTCAACAAAAGACTTTTGTTCAAAATTTCAAATATACAATACTGACCAATACTATACAATAGCTGACCAATTCCAACTCTGGACAAAGAATGTCCAGAAATCAAGAAACTTCTGGTTAACTTTTTTATTCCATGCAATTCCTAATACCACTTCAAGGATCAAGGATCGTGGTGAAGGGCTTGTGTGTTTCAATGACCCAGAGAGCTAAATGTATGCTAGCGGGAGCAAAAGCTTTTGGTAGGGATTCCCGGTGTGTTCCCATTTCGCCTTAACTGTGAAATATAGGTAAGAAAATGGTTCCCTTGTAAGACAGGAAATGGGTAGAGATAAGACAAAATGTGATTCACTGGTCCTCCAAGTTTGGGTTGGGCATAGGGCTGCATGACAACCCTATCCCGTAAATGATGTTACGGAAAGAAAAGCAACAGATAAAATTAATGTTTCAGCGTGCGACGGACCTTCTGAGTCAAGTGAAACTTTTATGAATGCTGGTGGCCAAAGACATGAGGATATTGGATAGTAGAGGACCTAAACACCACCAAGTCTAGGACACTGGGATGTAAGAACGGTGTACAAGACAGGCAAGCTGGCAACAGGTAACATCAGAGATGAGGAGATTCAGAGTGAGTGGGAGTAGATGCACTGCTTTGGGAGGATGACAACGACCTGAAAACGTTTTCTACTGGCATAGATGACAACCAGCACCACGAGGGATCTTAGAGACTTAGATATCGATATGCATCCACCAAAGAAGAGATGTTGGCTGTCATTAAGACTCTTAGGAACAAGTCACCAGGACAGGACAACCTTGATGCAGAACTGTTCAACGCGGACCCTGGGCCACCAGCCACCCATTCTACAACCGCAATGTTCACAGCTAAATGGTAGGGAGAGAAAATACGTGATGACTGTTCCAAAGGAATAATAGTAAAGGGGGGGGGGCACAATGATTCCGCTCCTGGTGTTAAGAGAATACATTCGCTACTTTTCCTTGGAATGTTTTATTAAATGGATGTGATAGATTCAATGAAATTTAGATTAAAATGTGATTGAGAATGTATATTTATTACTTTTTCGTGATTTTATATACAAAATATCGTATATATATGCGCAGGTAACACTAAAGCAATGAATTTCCTAGTTATTTTATTTTCCTGTGTACATATAACCACAAAGTGGACTAGCTAGTCCGATTGGTAAGTTTTCCAGTATAATAAATTTCATTCATTTGTTTTACTTACTTGATTACTTTATTTTTTAATTTAATTTTAATTTTTAAACCATGAAACAATCTTTAATATTGTCATTATTATTTCTTTCACAAGTCATGCACTTGTATGTACTTGTACATTCCACTTCATAAACTGATAAGCATGATAAGTACAGAAAAATTTATGTACTGTGAAGCTAATAGTTCGCTTTCCATTCCTCTGATTAGTCAAAGACCAGTTGTATCATGATGAAAAAAATCGTGATGTTTTGTCAAAATTCTTCAAGATGTGCTATACGAATTCAAATAGTTGGCACCCAAACACTGAAATTCTCGAAACGTTTCGCGCCAAATTCATCCTACGACGGTTACGGAATCTGATGAAATTTATTTTCAGTATAGCTTGCATCTTTAAAAAAATACCTCTATTCAACTTTAATGTTCATTGCGTAATAATCTTTTTTTTAAATGCCGGCTTTTCTTATCGGCCAGTTTTTTTATCTTTCTTAATTCATTTATCACTGTTTTTTTTTTTTTGTTTGTATTCTATAATTTTCCATTTGTATTCTATAATTTTTCATTTGTATTGTATAATTTTTTTCATTTGTATTGTAAAACTTTTATTTGCATTCTATAATTTTCCATTTCTATTCTATAATTTTTTCATTTGTATTGTTTAATTTTTCATTTGTTTTGTATAATTTTTATTTGTATTCTATAAATTTCCATTTGTATTGTACAATTTTACAATACAAATGGAAAAGTATACAATACAAATGAGAAATTATACAATATAAATGGAAAATTATACAATACAAATAGAATATTATACAATACAAATTTAAAATTATAGAATAGAAATAAAAATATACAAATGGAGAATTATTGAATATAAATAAATATTTACAATGCAAATGAAAAAAAGATAGGATACAAATGGAAAATTTTACAATACAAATGAATTCAAAATACAAATGGAAAAAAAAATCGAATATTGCGACGTTTGACATGCCATAGTTCTTGACAGGCAAGCTTACACTTGTACTTCGTTCTACTTGGTATGGGGGCAAACAAACTCGACACCGTCTCTTATATATTGGAAACGAAAGAACAACACTAATCTTCATACCGAAAACGTTTGGATATACGAGTTGTCAACTAACCTCAAAAGTAAAGTTTATCTAATCGGTAAGTTGAATAAATATATCGTGATGTCTACATAATTGGATTAACGATATTAAAAGAATTGTTTGAATGTGGATCATTCCTCTAGATGACAATCCTACTAAGACGAACGCCATGCAAATGTTCTCATTTAACCCGAATTTACTTTAATCAGGTCATAATCTCTCAACTAGCATTTTTGAATAGCTGAAGCTAATTTGCTTGTATTTCGAGCTTTAAAGCTAAATAAAGAGATTGTACCAGTCTTGTTTACCCAGAGGATATATTGATATCTTTTGACAAATTTTGATTTCAATAATATTTTATTTATTTTTCCGGTACCCAAATTTTCATCCTCACAATGTAAGGGTCCTGAGTCCGCTCATAGCTCACAGTACAGGTGGTCTTCAGCCATAAGTGAACTCTTGACGATCTTCTCACTCTATCCCCCCACTTTTATTCTTTTTTTTGGGGGGGGGGGGGTGGAATGGAGATTATCGGGACCCCTGACATTGTCATGATTGTGAGGATACTAAATTTTATGGTCAATAAAATTGAGCTAAAGTGTTGTAAAGAAGGGATACCTTTATTTATCGTAATGCCTACAGCGGATAACGTTATACATTTGATCAGAGATGTATACAATGGGAGTAAAAAGTTAAAACAATGCCTGTCATGTTATGTACATGATTGTATGTCTCTGATTTGATGTTTATCAATAATCAGTATTCAGAGACCTGATTTAAAAAAAAAACAAAACAAAAAAAACAGTTTTTAATTGATGGCCTTGCTGTATCTTACCTCAGCTAAACTATTAAATGTAGAAAATTTAAAATGATACCAGGACCTACATGTATAATAGGTTACACACCACTTAGTGTAGGCATACTTTTTCTGTGTGGGATTTAGACTGTGTACAAAATCACAATTTTTCTGCAGAAATTTGTCACAGAGTGCTTTAAGTATGTTGAAGACATACATTGGCAATGAGAGAAATCCACATCATTTTCTACATGCGGATTAAACAGAAATTGATTCAGTGAAATTATGATCTTGTGGAAAAATGTACATATTTTACATTTTGTGAATTTTGCTACAGTGTCATATTATAAACAAAATTAGGAAACTTTATGTAAACATAACTTACTATAAAGCGAACTGCTAGAAAATTTTCTTACATAAAATCAGATATTTTTTTTATCAGGCTATATTAAGCCATTGAGCCTCTGTTCAAGCTGTATCATGAAGTCACTCCGTAGAATTCAGAATTGTCTGCTACACATCAGAGGAACAAGGCAGACTCAAGGTGAGAGTTTGGAACATTTTCCTGTATGAGATTTGTATTAGATTTATAACCAGTATATAAAAGTCAGCATTATTCATATAGGCCAGGACATTTTAATCAAATGTGAAATGTATTTTAAGGGCCATTTATTCACTGGATTATCTCCATATAAAGAAGTTGACACTGGTTAGCTAGTGGATATAAGCTCACTTTCATTTTAATCTTCAAGCTAATCTTGACAAGCCAAGGGTTTTCAGTCAACTCTGCAGTTGCTCCCCCTAAAAAAACCCTTTGCTTATGAAAATGTGCTAACTCTGAAGCCAAATTCAATGTAAAAAAAGTAAATATTCATGACAAGCTTTAATACCTACATTATATAATGAGGGGGTTTTAACATGTGAAGTGACCAAGGCTTTTTTTTTTTTTGAGATTCACTTTAAATTTACCCAAATGTCTTAGCTGTATTCCAAAAATGATCCACCATCGTGCTGATCATGCCCCACAGGCATGTAAGGAATTGTTACTTTCAGGGCAATAAGTCTTAATGATTATTTAAATTCCAAAGTTTTGTTTTGAGGAGAGAATACTTATAAAATTTATTTACCTTTATAATGATATATATTAATTGATTATAAACCTTAATTTTGTTTATCATTTCCAAAGTTGCCAGAGTGTATGGAGGCCAAACAAATTCACAATCAAAGCCCTACACTCCCCGAAGGGCAGTGATGTATGTCCCGGGCAATGATCAGAAAAAAATTCAGAAAGTTACCTCCCTTGATTTGGACTGTGCAGTTCTGGATTGTGAAGATGGTGTGGCAGCTAATAAAAAGGTAAAATAATAAAAGAGTAAAGTATGACACAATGACATTGATATCTGTGAACCAGAGTTGTCATTTTTTATTTCTCACTGACAGTTTGTTGTGAATGACAATGGTATGCCATGGAGATTATCCAAATTTTATTTTAGAAAATTGCAATAGATCATTTATCTTAAAATGTATTTAAAGAAATTGTCATATAATATAACAATATGTAATTAATAAATATTTCAGTTTTTTATTCATAGGAAATAATAAACCAGTCTTCATGCATCATTATGACTAATCAACTAATAATAGTATAAAACATGGAACAGTGAAATTTTTTTATTGTTAAGAATTGTGAATATATACACTTTTTGCTTTATTGTACAATTAGGAGGAAGCCCGTTCCACAATAAGAGAAGCCCTTGACCAGTACGACTTTGGCCGCACTGAGTGTATTGTGCGTGTGAACTCAGTCACCAGTGGACTAATGGAGGGGGACTTGGTTGAAGTACTGAAGGCAAAGAGAATGCCCCATGCCCTAATGCTGCCCAAAGTGGAGCGACCCCAGGACATTGACATGGTACAAAGGTTCTGAATGTTTTCTGTTGATATTGAGTGAATTGACAATTTTGGGACAAATTAATACATTGTAGGTTATCCTACATACATGTAGATCATTCTTACATTAACAGTTCCTACTGGTATTCAGTATGTGATTTATATTTAGATATTAAATGTTTTGTACAAATTTATCAATACTTTAAATTTCCAGTAGTCAGTGGCATGTGTGTACATGTACTTGAGTTACACAGAAGCAATCTTAAAGGATGCTGTTCATTTCACATCAGATGATAGATCAAAGTGTTAGCATCAGAAAAGTCATAGCTTTTACAAAGTAGAGCAGTACATTTGATGAAGCATTTTCTGTCTTAATTTGGTTAGTGTCATGTATGCCAGTAACACCCAAAAGTCCAGTCTTCATTGAAATTGTCCTGAATTATAAGATTTAATTGATTATATTAAATAAAATGGTGTGAGATGCTCAATTTTGAGATGATGTGTTGTGATGAGTTATGTCCTCTTTGACCTCTGTGTTGCAGTATAAAATGTAACTTGTGAGACCAAATGTTTTTTTCTTACATACATGTATTTCAATTTCATTCTAATTTGTCATTGTACCTGTAAGATTTCAGAAATATAAGCAATTTTATAGGATAATTTCCACCATCTTGCATTTTAGATTTAGCTAGTATGATAAATTCTCTGAGGAATAGATATTTCGTAGACAGAATAATCTATTTCACAGACTGGAAAGCATTCTTCCTATTCAATCTCTAATTTAGGACAATAACTTTGGCAAGGATATAAACATACATGTAGCATTGCTGATAAATCCATTCACTTTTTTCAGTTCACCAAGCGACTGAAGGAAGCATTACAAGGGAGGTCACTCCAGACACGCCCCTTCCTGATAACGTATGTAGAGAGCGCCATGGGGTTGATGAATCTGAGGGACGTATTTAAGAAGACCGTTGACCTCCAGCTGAAGGAACAACTGTACGTACTGGACGGTGTTGTCTTCGGATCTGATGATTATTGCGCAGATATCGGTGAGTTTTATTCTGACATGAGACAAAATCTAAGAAAATTTTTTCAAACTTATTCCAAGTAATAATTACTCAAAGAGGAATGGGTGCTTAATTAAATTTCCACTCTACAAAGGAAGACTACCCTACATCCACTTAGTTAAATGTGAACAAACCTTTGTGGGAGGGAAGGGTTCAATGTAAAGGACATATACTGGAAAGACCAAGCAACATACCAGGCATCATTGGAAAGGGTTCTGTTTTTTTTAATCAGTGGGAGCATTAGTTATTAATATTCAAGAATGATTTCATTACAATTGCAATTGATTTACTTTAATTACACTAAAAATTCAAACAGATTATTTTTGTGACTGTAAATTAAGAAAAAGTACATGCATAAGCACATATCAGTTTTAAGTATAATTTGATATTTATGCAATGAATTGGTCTTTAAAATTTCGTTTTTATTTCATATTTCAGGAGCCACAAGAACAACTGATGCTAAGGAATTACTGTATGCCAGGCAGAAAATAGTCACATGTGCTAAAGCCTTCAAACTACAAGCCATTGACATGGTACATATTGATTTAAAAGGTCTGTTTTTGTATAATGCATGACACAACACTTCCATTTATAAGCTGTTATAGATCAAGAATTAAGGTTGCAGGATATTACACACTCTGGCATTCATGAGATTTACATTTGACAGATTTTCACATGAAATGCAATTGGAAAGTGAAATTCACCTGACAGAATCTATTCACCTTTTGATCTCTTGAATAAATTTTTTTAAAATTTAATGAGAAATTTATTGTCCCCCACTTTTGCAAATGCAAGGGGCTATTATATCTCATTCTTCCATCTGTCCATCAGACAGTCTATCACATTAACCTTGGTCATAATTGCTGAATGAGAAGAGATATGGCTTTTGTATATCATATGAGCATTAATTGTGACAAGACCTTTCCGAATAAAATGCAGTGTTTGACCTTGTCACCTCTACCTAGATGTTTCACCAACTTTTTTTCAAAAACTGTACATGTGCCTATGTTAATAACTTTTGAATGAGAAAAGATAGGCTTTTCATATTTCAGATTTACATATGTATTGCCTGTATCAGGTCCTTTCTTAATTTATTCTAAATTTTGCCTCATGACCTTAAAGTCTTATCTACTTTTCTAAAATTTTAACACATGCATTGATAATAGCTTCTAAAATAAATGATAGAAGATTGGGATTTCATGTTCCAAATGTACATTACCTTAAAATTTGAAATCCACTTTTAAGTGGTAATTTTTATTCCTCGTGACCTTGACCTTCAAATTTTACTGTCTTTCTGTAAAAGAGAAAGGGCTTTCACATTTTTACAATTGATTTACCTGAAAGACATATCCCCATATTAGTCCATGGTAATTTTTGGTCCCATGGCCTTGAAGTTTCACTTTTACATACATGTACTTTAAAAAATTCAATCTTGGCTCTAACTTTAGCAACTAAAGGGATAGGGCTTTCATATTAAAGTGCAATATGTCAAATCAATATGACCCAGAAAGGGGGAAGGGGGAACCACAATTCTCTGAATTTGTTTGTTTCAATTTTGAATGATTGATTTATATGATATACATTTGGCAGACTTTAAGATTAGGTGATTGAAAAGGATGGAAGGATTAAATATAATAAAGTATAATAAACAGTCTGATTCTCTTACTTAAAAAAATGGATATGATAATAATATTTAGTTTCTTTAAATTAACAGACTTAGAAGGAATTGAGAAGCAATCCCTGGAAGGAGCAAGGATGGGTTTCACAGGAAAGCAGGTCATTCACCCCTCCCATGTCCCCATTGTCCAGAGAGCCTTCTCCCCTACAGAAGATCAAGTGGCATGGGCCACAGAGCTTGTGGAGGCATTCAGTAAACATACAGAATCGGGAAAGGTAAGGGTAGATCTACTGTGCATTCCTAAATATTTGCAAAGAGTTAATCATCATATAATTTTCGGAGAAGCAGCACTTGCAAACTAAAATTACTCACTTTTATTTTTATGGCGTTTAATTTCACATAGTCTTTTAACCAACCGTTCACTGGCAAATCATTTTCACAAGTATATATGTGTAAGAGCCATTTTGTTATATTAATTACTCACATAAAAAAATGGAATCTATAGTTCTGTAAAAAATACAAAATCTATCACATGTAGTCTAGCTAATGGTGGGGGATTTATTATTGAGATGCAAAACTTGGAAATTTGTTGAAAAATATTTAATGCAGATAAAGAAATAGCTGACATTGAAGAAAAAAGGATTTTAATTATCATTGTTCATCAATAAACAGTAAACTGAGCACACATTGGCATTGTTTTATTGGTATGAAAAGAGTCTGATCACACACACATAACTATTGATTTTTTTTTACAAAAACAAGACTTTAGTATAAATTAAAATATGTGGATTCTTACATAATAAAAAGGCTTTTTAGACAAAATACAGTGAATTCTGAGGAAATGTAATTTAATTGTTTATTGAAAGACCACAGACTCTGTATGTTTGTTTTTATGATCTTTAACAATACCTACAAAATGATTTTTTTTTTCCAGGGTGCTTTTACATTCAAAGGAAAGATGATAGACATGCCATCTGTCTTACAAGCAAAAAATATTTTACAACTATCAGCTAATATTGGATCAAAGGCACCCTGACACGTGATTAGTTTAAAAAGCTGTGACCTTTGATTAACCCTGAAGTACCAACTAACTGCTTTCAGATTGATTGTTCTCTGCCGTGATGCCCAGTTTACCATGAATGAAAAATTCAACAGTTTTCTTTAATCATCATTTGATTGGACAGGTCATCTTGCACATACATATTATTTTGTATGAACATATACATATAATTTGTATATGTTAGTTATGTAGCAGATCAGTTTTGAACGTTTCATAGATGTACAGTCAAACTTTATTACCCCAAACTTGATGTGGCCAAGAAAAAAAAACTTTAAAATATCCATGGACTCAAGATTTTGAGATAACAATACATTTTAAAAGTAGTTGGGAATTCAGAGTCACTTCAACATAAGTAATATCCATGGTATTCAAGATACCATAGTTTGACAACAGAATGTCTGTTGTAACAAATGGTGAGATTATTATATGTCAGTCTTACATGTAAGTATTGATATTACTCAACCTTTTCTGTCTATCAGCAAGATTTCTTAAACACCCAGGTAGATGTTAAGGTGAACTATGTTTTAAAAAAAAACAATGCTCTGTTTGTGCATAATAATAGTCCACATTTCAACATGGACAAAGAGAAGTTTTAGACAGAGACTTTGGTCATTGGGGTTGGTAGAGGTGTATACATGTAATATACTCAGCTGGTTCTGTATTGGATTCTCTTATTTTACATGTACATAATTATATCCATATATAATACTCTGATGTTTGAAAGAAAATTTTTAGTCTTTTTCAAATTGATCAATTCTAAGGACAAGGAACATGAAAAAGAGAAGTACTTATTTTAAAAATGATTCTCTGAGTCTACTGACAAACATTTTACATGTGCTTAAAATTATTTAATAATGTTAGAGTAAAATCTTCCCTCCGTTTTTTGATGCATATTCAAATATTTCTTCAGTTCTGGGTGGTATACCAAACAATTGTTGACAGATACATATATATAGCATATGTACTTTATGGCTATGAATTGTGAAGAATTCTTTTTCTCTAGTGCTAGAAATTATAAATCGCTATTGTTAAGATATCCTAAATATGGCAACAATGTCTGTTAAAGTGTATTATGAACATGTTTATAATGTATACATGTATTAAACATTCTGTTTTGTAATGGACATGTATGTACTCGATGTACAGTGTATGCCTTCATTGATCCACTGATATGTACATACATGTATTACTATAATGAAGTTTCAAAAACCGTATTAAGGGCTTTTTGGACTCTTTCTTGTGGATAAGTCTCTTTAGAACACAGATAAAACCATGTACTTGTTTAAATGAGTGATAGCATAGGAAAAGGTCAAACAAGGCCCAAGAATGTATTCAATTTTATTTTTGTTGATTTTTTAACTGATATTATTTACATCAATTTTAATGAACATCATACATATTTTATACAAAAATCATAGATTGTTTATGTACTTTCTATGTTTTCTAAAACAAACAAAAAATCATTGAAATTCTTCAGAAATGAAGACAGTTGTAATACTAACCTTCTTGTGACCTCTGTGTATTCTGAAGAACAAATGATCTAGACATCATTCATTGTTTTATGATTATTAACTAAAAACAAAATCATGCTTTACTATTTATGTCAGATAAGGACCTAAAATTGGTTCTTTTACCCTTTTCTCCTCTTCCTTTTGTACAGTGCTACATGTAACATTAATCATTTCTATGATTTTGATGTATGATGGAAAATGGTTCTGAAATACTTGCAAATATAAGAGGGAAAGGTAAATATGCATTGACTTAGTTGTCTATTTACATACTGTTTAGTTTTCTGAGAAAAACTATGTTGCAACAAATGAAATGTTTAAAAAAAGAGAATACGATTAAAGAAAAAATAAACACCATTGAACATTCAAAACCCTACATTTGCCCAGTTTTTGAAGATTTTTTTTTTAATTTCTTTACAATACACTATATATTCACTATATATCAAGAATTTCCCACAATCCCTTTTCCTTAATGTCTCTTAGATCATATGTGCCCTTCACGGTTCCATCGGGTGTGGAACTCATAAATATGAAATAGCATGGCCACTGAAGGGGAGACATAAGGTATTGAGGTATACCACTCGTTCCCTCTAACTTGATGACCTTCCATTGACCTTCAGGACCAGGTTGTCCCGATACAGACCAGCACCACCCGAACTTACGATCTACGTACACATAATATGAGGGCCACTTTTTCGATCTTATGTAAAATATGTTGTCCAGATTTCGATTTTCTACCACCTCCAAATTAAATTCACAGGCGTCGGATTTTTTATTGGTTCCACGAATAGACCCGCCAAATGTTGATGACATCTCCATTTTCCAATCAGGCCAATTGGACGACCGAATCAAGTGAGTATGTGCACAGAACAATTTGTCCTGACCTATGCATGGAATCCGGATTTGTTTTATTCGAAGGAGGTGTAGAAAATGTTCATTTTCTGATGGGTTGAATATGGTTAAAAACACAGCTTTTTCGAATTTGGATTCTGTAACAAACTTCACTATCTCTAGGTCAGACTTCTCGCTTTCAGTAATCATGGCCTGAACGCCTTTAGCACTAGACTGATCATAACCTCTGCGATTTTTGATGGAGAACAACTGCCATAACACCAGTGATCGCAGTATCGCAAGCCTAGAATACAAATTTATGTACGCTGCTGCTCTGTAAGCAGATTTAATATCCGAGTACAAGAGCTCTTCTGTTTTCGCCCTTAATTTACCAAGAAACCTCACAGCATCATTTGTAGGAAACTTATCCTCCAAATGGTTAATTATACTCTTGGGGGCATCTTCCTCAAAACTATTCAGATAGGCATTGGTATTGTAAAACAAATCTTCTAAACCCACAGCCTCCGCTTTTAATTCTGAATCCTGAAAGCGCTCAATGGCAGCATAGGCACTGTCCTTATCTGCTGACGGAACAGTCGTTTTCATAGCGTTTCCAACTTGTAAAAACAAATTTGACAATACTGAAAACGTAGTTCCAAGCGTTGCAGGTATGGGATGAATCGCAGCTATCTTGGAAGCAAAGTTAATTGCGAAGGAAAGTTTGTTAAACACGTCCCCACTGTCTGAATTAACACATTTCTTTAACTCTTTGATGGCCTGCTTCACCTCTCTTGATTTTTTAGGACCGGCGAAAACTGTGCATAATTCCAGGAAGACGTTTTCTGCTGCTCTAGCGTCCAGTCCCAGTTTTTTTAAACATTCTGTTAACTTTCGTTCGGAACGAGAATCCTCCCTAGAAGCCATTGTTGCCTGGAAAGCAAAGATGGAAAACATATTGAATTGTCATTGTATATTTCACTTTATTTCAAGCATGTCTTCATGTGTATACGTGCATGTATGTTATACTTTTTTATATAACGCATATAATTAATATATTTGATAGAGTTAGTGTAACCAAGAAGCACAAGAAAACTTATTTTAAAAAAATCAGTTAGTGCATACTATTGCCGCCCTGTATATAATTTTGCTGTCGACAATACAGTGTACATGTCGGTTTCCTGACATTATCGGTAATTGGCGGGATTTTCCTTATGTACATCAAATTAAGTCAAACAGATACCTTATTTTTTATAAAACCGATTGAATCGTCTACAGTTTAATTATGTATCACGAGCATCTCAGAAATCTTTCATGTATTTTTTTTTTAACTTAAGACGGTCTATGAAAATACAGCATGAAGGCAAGTGTCGACTTCATAAAATTACATGTATATGTAGTAGTGAACTTCATCATCACTATCTTCATTTTTAATGAAAGTTTTTAGAATTCGTAATGTTTGTTTGACCCAAAATGTTTCCAAATGTATTCTTGGCAGCGAAAATACACTGTATATGCAGGGCTATGCAATACTGTAGCAACAGTACATCATCTTTCCTGAAACCGATACATCATTTTTAAAATAAAGCTTGTATTATTCCTTATTTATTTATTTATTGGGGAAATTTACCCATGTATGTAATAAAAGTAGATAAAAAACATTAAAGTTGCAAGATAAATAACTTACATGAAGGGACTTCCTGATTTGGAAACACTGTATATTTCATCACTTATTTAAAAAAATATATTTCCTGTTTGTTAAATAATATTTATATATTCTAACAAGAGGCCCAAGGGCCTTAACGGTCACCTGAGTATAATACAACAATTTAGATGATCCATAGAATATAAAATAAACTGATAGATGAAGCTTTGTTGCCCAAAAGCAAGAGAAATAGGATGGTCAGAATCAATGAAATAATTAGTCTAGTATTCAGTACCAACTCATACATTAAATTCTAATTTATCCCCCATTTAGCACTATCACCATGCAGACTATTAACAAACTACATGTATTAGTTCTTCTGTACTACTTTTAACCCCATATTGTGACCTCTCACATTGGCCTCTCTTGGTCTTTGAAGAACATTTAATAAGTTAATTTTGTCTCATTTTTATTTATTTATCATTTACAAGTCTACCTGATCATTAAAACTATGAAAGTACTTTTTGTATTGTTCAATAATTTTTTTTTTTTTTTTTTTTTTTTTTTTTTTTTTTTGCATTATTCTCTTATTCTATTAACTTTCAAATACATTATTTACAGTGATTAATTATCAGAGGTGAATGGCAAAGGGGAATAACTTCTCTCAGTTGAATACAAATTAATAGAGCCCTGACTAGGACCAGAATGCCTAGACAAATGGTCCTGATGTTCAAAAATCTGGTAAAAATATCCTTGCTTATTAGAATTTTAATTCTGTTTGCCTTCGATATGCCAAGGAGCAGAGAAGATTTTTAAAGAAATAATGCATTTTCACTACAGATTCAGCACATCCCTACCTTAACACTAAAACCCATGTCCCAGGGTCATGAAATTCATAAATTTGGTAGAGGTTCCCTCATCATCATAACTATGCACTTAGTTGAAGATTTTCAAAGCATTAACACATTTTTATTTTTATCACTTTATTAATAAATATAGCCCCCGACATCACCCCTACCCCTCACCCCCACCCCCCGAGAAACACCAAAACCTGAAGACCACAAGTTTTAAAATTTTGTAAGAAGCACAGTTGTTCATTATAACTATGCACTTTAATTATCAGCTCATCGCTAAGGAGCAGACAGGATTATTTAACAGAAGTAATGCATTTTCAGTATATTATCAATAGAGTCCCACCCTTACACCAGAACATCTGACTTAGAGGCAATGATTCATGAAGAAGCACTCTTTTTCATCATAACTACAGACTTAGTTTACTCTATAACCAGGAGCAAAAAAAAAAAGATTTTCAAAGAATTGATACTTTTTCAATATATAATCAATAAAGCCCCCTTCCCAACCCTGGGGCCATGAATTTCACAATTTTGGAAAAAGCATCCTTGTGCATCATAAGCATGCATTTAGTTTGTTTAAATAATACCCAGGAGCAGAGAAGAAGATTTTCAAAGAATTAATGCATTTTTACTATATAATCAATAGAGCCCGCCCTAACACCAGAAACCCTGAACCTGGGGCTATGAATTTCACAATTTTGGAAAGGGCATCATTGCTTATAATAACCATGCACTTAGTTTGTTTAAATAATACCCAGAAGAGAAGAAGATTTTCAAAGGAATAATGCACTTTCACTATATGATCTATATAGCCCCGCCCTAGCACCAGAACCCCTGACCCTGGGGCCATGAATTTCACAATTTAGGTAGAGGGCTTAATGCTTACTACAATCATGCCAACAGTTTGACTGCTTGATGTCCAGGAGTAAAGAAGATTTTTAAAGATTGCATCAATTTTGGTGGTTTTAGCCCCACCCCTAGGGCCCCAGGGGGACAGAGACCACGAAATTCACAATTTTTGTTCCCCTTCACCCAAAGATGCTATATGCAAAAATTGGTTGAAATTGGTTCAGCGGTTCTAGAGAAGAAGTTGAAAATGTTCAAAAGTTAATGCACGACGGACGACGCACGACAACAGACAAAAACGGATAGCAATAGGTCACTGAGTGACTAAGGTGACCTAAAAATTGTAATATTTAACGATTTCCTCAAATTCTGACAGTGCAGCAATTTATCTATTATGCCTGCCACATAAGTAATATATAAGTTTAGAGCCTTGACCCGTTATCAGAAATGTGTTTGATGTTGAAGTTATAATTATATACTGAAAGGGGGGAAAGGGCAGGGTAAACGTTTGAAGTGATAAAATGTTATTTTTTTAGCATTGTTGGTAACATTTATACCCGTCTTTAATCAACTAGAAAAAATACAGAAAGAAAACCAAAGGAATAAGGAGGAATTTCATCACAAAACTTTCAGATATACATGTAGATTTTAAAGACTGCTCTACTTTCCTCAATATTTCAGGACATCCAACAATTATTGCAAAGTGTAGAGACTCACCTCTGCTATATGAGGGCCAGTAAAGATCGATGGACAAGAATTTGAGGATGCAAAAACATTTACATACCTTGGAGGAAAAGCCAAATACCAATTTACTAGGCTTAGGAAAATCTGGAGCACATCAATTTTTTTTCTATTTAAACAAAAGTTACCGGTAATTAAGTTATTTAAATGCTTGGTCATGTCAGTTCTCATGTATGGAAGTGAGACATAAAACACGACGGAGCTAGACAAAAAGAAGATTGAAGCCTTCCGGAATAGATGTCCGAGAAAATCCTGAGAGCGAGATGCCCAAAGAAAAAAAACAATTGAAAAACTCCATCATGAAACAAAAACAACAAAAGCAAATGAAGATATAGCTCTCAGGAAATGGAATTGGATTCGATATATACTAAGAATAGAAAACGCCAGTATTAATTCGTACCACTGCACTGACATGGTACATGTACTCAGAAGGAAGGAGGAAAGTAGGCCGGCCGAAAACAACAGATCAAGAACAATTGTAGCTGAGGTGGAATAGTGGTCATCAGCGAGGTCAGCAGCCAAAGACGGAGGCAGGAGGAGGAAGTGTACTGGGGCCTTTTATGTCAATAGATTATAGGCAGAATAGGATAGGTGATGTGAAGTTAATCAACATGTAACTTTAATCTCGTTTAATTCTGACTGCTAACTTATAAGGCACTGAAACTCATCTGTCACAACCTTCTTTCTCCTCGGCAAGGAGTTCATCGGAGCATTTAATATATTTCTCATAGGGATATTATTTAATCCTTCCGACAAGTCCGCCCTTCGTTGGTCCGACGCCTTCAAGCCCAGTAGTTAGTCCCATTTAGGTTCGATTGGAGAAAAAAGAAGGACTTTACGGCGCGGACAGTCGAGTAGGTTCATGCGGTTGATTGCTAGAAAGACTAGACAAACTCTAGCTACAATGGGCCAGGGATTATTAAGTTAAAAAATTAAGGACGTTCGATCCTGAGCTTTTGAGCAGATTTTGGTCTGGCGCTTTATTTCTAAAATTCTGCATTATTTTTAAGTTCTAACATTAAATCTGGATATTACAATGCAAATTATACTATATCCAATGAAAAAACGCGATTAAATTCCATTCAAATAGGATTTAACCAGGAACTATATTTTGTGGCGGAAGATTTTTTTAGAAGAAAATGATCATTTTTTCCCTTTTGAAATATATACAGTACTGTTAAGTTTAGATTCCTATTTTTCCATGCTGGTTGCACACAGAGCTATTTTGTGCATTGAAATGTTTAATGCTGGTTCTAAAATATTAATTAAATCAGTTTTTGTGAATTCTATCATCATATTGTGACAAATATAGAAAATATATTCTGAAACTCCAGGAAAAAATTGAGCCAATTTTATCACAAAATTAACAGTTTTTTAGTAATATCTAAAAAATAACATCATAGACCTCCACTTTTGATTTTCTTTTCTGAATATATAAGATAACTCTGATCAATCTACTTAAATTCAGCAAAAGTTTAAGACTTTAAAATATTTTTCTTGCTTGTTAAATTTTTAATGCCCGAAAAATGACATTTTGTGAGTGCAGAAAGGTCAAATAATTGATTATGCGAAGCAATTTGAAAATTTTTCTTTGTCACAATTTTAATGTGTCTTTTTCAAAAGAGAATAATAGCATACTTTGTCCCATGATTTATTTGGATAAAAAATATTTGAGGGAAAAAGTCGAAGATGTTATTTTTGATTAAGACACAAATTCAGTGCAAAAAGGTCATTTTAAATGTACTGTAGCGCCAAAAGAAGCATATTGACCCCCATTTTTTGTTTTGATTTTTAATTAAGCTAAGTGTGTACAAGCTAAAAATATACTTGACAAAAAAGTTTAAGACTTTAAATATCAGGATCCAACGTCGTTAAGAAAACGTTGCACGCGTGCACTAGTGAGAGGAACGCCGACGCAAAGTTACGAGTTTACAAACCAATATAGAGAAATTTACAGATTTCTTTCAGTTTTGGGGTGAATGTAGAGATTATGATTAACAACTGTTTTAAAAACAGTTTCAATGAGAACGAGGAGGCGATTCCACACGTAACACGATGAATAGTCCAATTTTTACCTTGCGTTGTTATGCTAACCGTCGTTGTAAGGGTTTGTGAAAAAATCCCTATAGTCCCTCTCTTACGCCAAAAAATACGTTCTATGGTGAAAAAATTGACAACAAACTGCACAGCAAATTTGTTGTTGCCTTTTTTATTACTTGGGAAATGCAATTCGATGGTTTTGCCTACATTCCTTATGTCATATGAGGGCATGAAAATCACTATATCCGTTTTTATTAACCCAAAAATGGTATATAATAAAATTGCTTGTTACTGATGTAACAGGAATAAAATACTAGTATGGAGATAATGAACAGTTATCAACTCGTTTAGCAGCTTAGAGCTGGGTTTGATATACTAGGTATGAAAAAGCAAGTACTATATATGAACTTCTTCTTTCGCTTTTTAATAAGTGGAACAGGGAACTTTTTCTTTTGCTTTTAAATAAGTGGAACAGTGAACTTTCTTTTTGGCTTTGAATATCATCATGCATGTGGATTAAAAGACATTTAATGAAAAAAAAACTATTGACTTTTTACAAAATAATCTTCACAGAGTCAATTAAGGTATGTAACTTTGGAACTCCACAATGTCAAAATCACAATTTAAAACCTGACATTGTAAAAATGGCACAAACCTGATTTGAATACTCATGCTTCACAAAACACAGTCAATTTAATCATCCTTGTTTATATCTCAGTATCATTTTCAAGGAGGTATCTAATAATAAAAATCCGTAAAGGCTTCCATAACTGCACGTCAATCTACTTATATCCGTTATCGCAACGATTTTTTTATCAATGCTATAACAAAACATACGCCTTGTTCACAATCTAGTATCATAATTTACCTTCAAAGTACGTGTAACGATCAGAATTTCAGGATTTTTTTTATGCTGAAACTTCTCTGTTGATTAAAATTTCCTGTCCAGAGTTAAGTTATCTGATCTGGTCACATTACTAGCCATGTTTGTTTACTGGATACGATAGCCTGACGTGTATATAATCGACAGGATCACACAGTTAAAGCTGACATGAATTCTTAAAAACACAACATTTGCATCAATGTACGACTTGTTTTATACCAACTAGCCGTATTCCGCCATATTTCTTTCAGATACCTTGTCTTATTGTAGCCATTCCAGCTAACGCCATTTTATCTAAATATAGTAACCAACCGGAAGGCAGCAGGCATCCATGTTTTCACGTTAGTGAAAGAAGACTGTAGCTGAGGGTAGAGGTAAGTAAGTTATTGGCTGTAGGTATAATACATATCTGTGACATCGCATTTAAAGCTCATAGATAGTTTTATTTCACATTTGTTATTATAATTTATTCTTGAAATGGCGATCGTAGTGTTTAAGTTTTAGAAAATGCAACACGATTGCTTGCAAACAGTTTTACATATTTTGTATTTTTGGTGCTTGTGTCTATAAAGCTTACATTAAGGAAGATTAAGTAGTGTAGAGTGATTGCTCATTACCTATTCTTTATTATTGATGTAATTAAAAAATTATTTCACGTCTCACTTTTTGTCACACTTTATAAAACTCGGATCAACTGTTTGACAATCGAAGATACTGTAAGTAAATTACCTGCCCTTGTTATAGTTTACTTCACAAAACTGAAGTGTCAATTTCATACATATACATGATGTAAATATACATATTTCATTTAATTTATTAATTATACTTTGTCTTCAAACCTACCTTTCAATGTAGGCCCAATGGCTTAAACAGTTAAATAGAATTTTATTGTGAATTTTGCATAAATATGTCAAATATCATATTTACAGTCAAAATGCTATTATTAATATTTATATTTACAGGTCTGAAATTCAAATTAACAGTTTACAAGAGTGAAATATCAACAAAAAGATTATCTATATTAAGGTAAATATACTTTAAACTTAATTGTTATGTGTGCTTCTGTTTTGTTTATGTGTTGTAAAATGTAAACATGGTAAATGTATCTGTTTCTGTGTAATAGTTATATATACATGTAGCACATATACATTTCCCCTTTTTTTTATTTCATCTATCATTTATTTTACCTTATTATATTTTATTTCATCTGTCATTTATTTTCAATTTCTTTCAATTTTTTTCTGTTTCTGTCATTTTAGTTTTTGTAATATTTATTTCATTTCTTCTTTTATTTCAATTTTATTTTCATTTCATTTCTACACAGCATATATGGTAATCATTAACATTAGTTAGCTCACTATTTTTCACTCTATACCTGTTAATTTATGATCATGGAGGTTCTATACATTAACATTAAAGAAATATACGACAAACATAAGGGCAGTCCTGATTATATACAGAAAATTCACAAAAACATTTGCACTGCCCTTCGTGTTCCTTCTTCTGAAATCAGTAAATTTGCCCTACTTTGGAAGATTAAAAAAATTGTCAAAGAAATAGAACGTTTGAATAAATACACCAACAAGGAGAAATATGACGCTTATTGCAAGAAGAAATTTCAATTACCAAATTCAACAAAACAAAAGAAGAACAAAGAAGACACCATTAAGAAACCCAAAGAAGACAGTGTTACTTATCCAGAATTACAAGCAAAAATAAATGAACAAGAAATAACAATTTTACATTTAAAGAGAGAGAATTCCGCACTGAAAGACCGTTTGAGGGGAATAAACATTAGCAACATTAATAGAAATTTAAAAAGGAAAAAAGAGAGAATTGAAATTTTAAAAAAAGAGGTGGAAGTTTTACAGCAGAATGAAAAAAATAAAAAAAATACAAAAGAAAAAGGTGTACAGTGTAACACTTTTAAAACGTATATAAAAAACATTAAAAAAGAAATGGATGTTTTATTGTCAGAAAAAGAGAATGTTGAAGACAGTTCCAATGATATTGTACAGATAGAAAGAAATTTAGATTTTCAAGAGATGTCAAAAGGAAAGCCTTTTAATTTTAAATTAAGGAATTTGTATTATATTTTTAGAAGCCACAATGTTGGCATTGTACATATAGCACCAATTATTGAAGCAGTTTTAAATTTGTTTAATATTAATGTAAAAAAATTACCCAGCAAAAGTACTGCTGCAGTTTTAACTAGTGAAATGGGTGTTGTATCTAGAAACCATTTAAATGAAAAACTTTTAACTTCTGATAATACAACAATGCATAGGGATGCGACTACAAAAAAAGGTAAACATTTTTATGGTGTTAAATTGAACACAGGGGAAGATATTTTTACTGCGGGTGTTAGAGAAGTATGTAATGGAAAAAGTGGGACTTATATTAATTGTACAAAAGAAATTTTAAATGATTTGTCTTCTAATGAATGTGAAGCAAGAACTATTTTAAATTCAGTGTCGTGTTTTATGACAGACAGAAGTGCCACCGAGCAGAAAGTCAATGACATTTTAAGCGAGGAAATACCGCATGAAGTTCATTCTTTTAAATGTGCTGTACATCCACTTATACAATTTTCTGATGTGTGTGTTGAAGAATCTTTTAATATTGAAAAAGAATTACATGTCAATTTTAACAGTTATTCAAATTCAGTCAAAGAACCTTTTATCTTGTGTGTTTTAAAATCTGTTTCAAAGATGTTTTACAAAGATGGTGTTGGAGATCCAAAAGATTTACAAGTTTTTATGAAAAGCAATGGAGTAGAAAATATTCCAATAATTAATTTTAGAGGAAGCAGGTTTAATGTTTCATTTTACAATGCTGCTGGGACTTTTTTTATCCACAAACTACTATTACAATATTTCTTTTCATTGAAAACTTCCTATTCGGTTTTACAGAATTTCATTGTTTTATCCTTACAAAATAAGGTTATTTTATGTCTTTTAAGAGCTTTTGGAATTTTATACAAATTAATTACTGAACCTTACTTTTTAAAGGCTTTAGAAGTTGGCAATATTTTATATATGGGATCTGTATATGAGAGGCTTTTACTTGTTTTGAATATGTTTTATGATGATCCATCATTGGCTTTAAAGCAACAATTGCGATTATTTTATGGGCCACAGTTTTATGACAGTGTTTCAGATTATTTATTTGATTGTTGTTTACACAACGATTTAACTACTGTTTTTTTAAAAAGACTTTGTGGTGTTTTAAAAACAAAAGTTGAAAAAATTTTTAGTGACTTTCTGTCAGGTGGCAAATATTTTAATGTAAATCCAGATGTTTTATCAGAATGTTCATCATGTATTTCAAACAACATATGTTTAGAGAGACTTATGGGACAATTAGACTTTAGTTTGAAAACAGGACCAACTTCCAGTATAAATACCATTGAAAGTTCTATCATTTTTAATGACAACAAAACAAGTGAGTGGTTAACAGAAAAGGATGACTCTGAAAGACAATTAATAATAGAAAATGCCAGGAAAGAAAATAAAAAATTCATGGAATTACAGAAAGAAAGAAAAATTAAATTATATGAAGAACATTTAAAAATTTTAAAAGAGAAAGAAGAAGAAACAAAGAGGAAGAGAGAGAGACAGACAGAGGCTGTTGATAAGGCAATAGAAGACATGAGAGAACATGGGATTTGGGAGAGCAGAGAGATTATCGAAAAAGAAGTAGAGAAGTTGAAAACAAAAAAAGAGAAATTACAGGCTTTAAAAACACAGATTAATATGTATAAAAAAGTATTCAAAATTAACAAACAACATAAACACCTTTGCCAGTATTCATCAAAAGGAAAACAATTTGACCATCTGAAATTGAAAGAAAATTTAATTGAGTTGTTAAATATCAGAAAGTCAACTGTAAATGTGTCTCCAGAGGATATAGTGCAAAAGGAAATAATACATACTTGGACAAATAATGATGGAGAAAATGTAGACTGGGAAGGGAAGATATTAAGTTTCAAAGATGGAGTTTTTAAAGTAATTAAATGAAATTTATTTCAATTTTCCAATTAATATGTTACAGTCACATCACCTTGCAGATACACTTTGAAATTTCAGATAACAGGTGGAGGCTACAAGTACATTAATTATACTTGTTAATCACAATTCCTCATTTAAGGAGGGTGTAGGTTTTTTGACATTTAATGATGTGTACTATATGATTATGTAGACTCATGTTTTACCAGCATATCACATGCTACTCAACTCTAAAAAGGCATACAGTGAAACATGTTTTTAGCGAACACATACGCTTATAATAAAATGATGCTTATAGCGAAGTGATTTTCATCCCCATGACTTTAAAGTTTGTGGTAAACTTAACGGATAGACAAGAAAGTATCTGTGAATATTTCTATGTTGTATTAAGGCATATTTACCTTCATTGCCTACAACAGCAATTCCCCTTCCTGTTTCACACCAGACGTACAGCCATATCTTAAAGTGCATGTTGAAATCAATGTTTTCAAACCCATAATTTTATAAAGGGTTTGCAAACAGAAAATATCGCGAAGCACCTTTTAACTGCATGTGTTTTTGTTTGTTTGTGTTTTATTAGTCTATGTTTGTGTCTGTATTGTGTAATGTTTTTGTGAATATATGTGAAATATAACACTCATAATGGAAATGTTAAGCCTTTAATATTAAATATTTTCTATTTTTATATGGCTAAGAATTCATTATAATTTCTCTTTTAACCAGGATAAGAACAGGCACTAATTTTAATATTTTGCATTACAGGTGCTGTATTGGAGGGATAAGGAAAGAAAAGAAAGTGACGTTTATGATTTGACTGAAAGGGAGATTAACACAGACATAAAAGAGGGCTTTCTATTTATCAAAGGTAATGCAATTGCACAATTTGTAAAAATATTATTGTTATACTTCTCATACTATTACATTAGATTACTTTATTGTAAGTATAAAGAATTTGTATTTTTTTAAATACATGTCTATGTATTTGTTTTCAGACACAACCAAATTTGACCACTGTTACGCAGCTTCTTGACCACATTTTCAGTCAGTGTGGATTGCCACGCTATACTGAACAGGTCAGACAACAATTAAAATACAACTTACAGATACCACAATTTGAGAAAAAGACTATAGGAGGTATGAAGTAAGAGTTATCTTTCATATATGAGAGTTACCTTTTATTACTCCTTCAATAATGAGATTGAGTTACTGCCCTTTGCAGCCAACTTCCAATTCAGCAAGAGGTCATCAGAATTAATTTAAATAACAATGAGAAGGATAACCAATGAAATTTCTTTTATTTATAACTAAGTTCTGCAGTTAAGGACCTATTGCATTTTATTATACTACCCTTATTTTATATTTAAATTTTAGGTGGAATAGCTACTTATTGTAACGATATATACCCAAGTGCCCTCGTTACACTTGAGTGAATTTTTGGTTTGGCTATCGAGATGTGCACATCTCCGATAGTAAAGTATTTGGGAACACATGAATTGATGAAAACATTTTAAAACCATAACAGATAAAAACAGTCATAAAGATATTTATGAATAATTATCGTTTTGAATAATATAATTGCAAGTTTGGAAGAAAAACCGTAGATGCGCGTGTTTTTTAAAAGCATACCAATATATGCAACTAAACTAGAAAATAATTCACAGTAAAACTCGTACAAACAATTTGCAATAATCTGTTGTAAAATGGAACAAAACAACAAGCGTATTGTGGTATTTGCCATGCATGCCCATATGCATTCAAATACAATTGATGCATATCGAGAGAACACGTCGAACGCGTGTAAACTTATTCATACCTGGAAATAGACCACTGTACCCATTCGAATATGTGCGCATGCCGAGTGATTTACATCTTGTATTCCATTTATTGAAATATGCATCACAAAGAAGTAATAAACTCCATAAAACTCAACAGTAAACACGTTGTCACTTCATCGTACAGCCTAGCACTCAAATACACTTAGTCCGTGCTGATCAGATTTTGGTCAGGGAAAATATCAAAAGTGAAAAAGGGAATTAGTATTTGCGCGACCGGGTAAAAAAAAAAGAAATCACTTTTAAAAAGTTTGATTACTGATTATCTAAAAACTAAACTTAACTGAGTAATTTGTTGTAAGAAAATGATTTAGAACACGACATGAAACCATTTAACCAGAACACAAATTAAAAATATACGCGCACGTAGAGCGGGGGGGGGGGGGGGGTACCCCCTTCTCTGAAAGTGTCTTTCAGTTCAGGCACGTAGCATCTAAGAAATAATTGACGATTCACCTGAAAAAAACCTTTGACAAGAAAAAAATAATAATAATAATAATAATAATATGAATAAATTAAAAAAAATCTCCAAAATCCCATTTTTTGTTGGTGATGGGGGATTGGGTGGTTGGGCAATTTTTTTGACGATTAGACTATAGTGCAACAAAAAGTGGAGTGGGTCAGCCTTTTAATGTGCATTTCATACAAAACAGTAAAACATTATACTCAGAAAAAAGTGGGAGGGGGCAACCCCCCCCCCCCCCACCCACGCGTTCTACAGGCCTGTCTTTTACGGTTGACTTCGTAAGGATTTTTATCATTTTAAGACTGGCTGCCCCCCCCCCACTCTCATCCAATATTATTGTACATTTTACTTAAATATTTTTCTGCCGAAAATGATAGTATGAATGGAATCTGTCCCTCCCCTGACTACTGATTTTTTTTTAATGCCTGTTTTCCTTCTTCACTTCCCCCAATTTTTAAGTGCCTAAACTTTTTCTTTTGCTTGTCGATCATTTTACTGTCCCCCGCTCCCCCCCCCCCCCCGCATACATACATTTTGAGAAACGGTGCTGCTTGCCTGTTTTATATGCATGTAACGGAAGCCTTTCCAGATTGGAGAATTTCCGCAGGCAGTCTAAAATATGGTACTATTCAATTTCTTGTATTTTGAGAAAATCTTAAAAGATGGTTTAAGGATTACTTGAAACCCTAACCGCAAGATTATGGATGGATTTATTTTTTGCCTTTTCAATACAAGTACTCCCTCTCTCTGTCTCTGTCTCTCATGTGTAAGCATCCATACATGTAGAGCAATAATGCATATAAAATCCAATGTAATAAAAATCATGGGAAATGCTATAGTCTTGACAAGGGCAGATCAAGGAATTTTTTTGGGGCAGGATGGATCCAACTTGCTGGAAAAAAAATGAAAAAAACTACACCCAAATGAAAGGGGAACTAAACAATTGGGAAAACTATATTTCACGGGAATTGAAACATGTGGACCCTTCTCACGTACTTTCCAGAGGAAACGAAGTCAGTTTTTTGTTTCTTTATACCTATTTGAAGCTCTAAAGAGCACGGAGGGTTCCTACCAGAAATTTTTGGACCAAAAAAAATGATAACCTATATCAAAATTTAAAAGAAAAAAACATACATTTTTTTCCTTTTTGGGGGGAGGGGGGAGGGGGGACACTCTCAGGGGCACGTTGTTTTCCTTTCCCTTAAAACTTTGACTATAAATTATAAAATAATAAAAAAAAAAATAATACACATGCACGCAACTATATTTTAATAATTCAGTCACATTACAAAATTTCTTTAAATATCTAGAACGTGTAAATATGTGTTATTGTTAAAAAAAACATTTGATGTAATGTAATAATCAGTACTTTTGCATCGCCTCGTGATATCTTTTTCAATGCCTCCCCACTTTACATTTGGGTACAAGGTAGAACTATTTCAATTATCAATATTACTTTCATATATACTATAGTGTAATACTTACTCAACTTCAATGTATATAAAAACATGTACTGTAGATTATGTTATATACACATAATTATGTCTGTGCTTTTAGGTAATTGTATCAATCGTGCTTGTAATTTGTGACGCCTAAAAGGGCCCTGATTTGAAAATAATCTGTCTACAGAAACAAATTGTTCATTGTGTGTTAATTTAATATATATTAATTTTACATCTTAAGTAGTTGAAGCCAGTTCATTGTACGTATTTGATCAAGAAAAATCCGACCGTTTTCCGACGTTTGTTTAAAATATATTGAAAAATGTTTATACATATTCCATCCCCCTTCATTTTTTAAAAGATGTAAGATCCGTAACAAGAATGTATGTTTATGTCATAAATTTGATGTAATGAAGCCACATTCATGTTCATATTTACGACATGTACCGACAACAATTAGTTCGATTTTCTGAAACGTTTTATTTGCGTGACTATATTGTCTAATCAGGCAAAACCAGTGTCATTTCCACCTTCGACATTTTCCCTGACCAAAAATGCTGATCGGCAGGGACCACGTGAGTTCAAGTGCTAGTGACAATGTGTTTACCGTTGAGTTACAAATGGAGTTATTTCTTATGTGATGCATATTTCAATAAAAGGAAAATAGGAAGTAATTCTTTCGACATGTGCACATCCTTGTAGCGATAGCAGTATTTCAGGTAGATGAGTTTAAAGCGTAGCGTTCGACGCGTTTTCTCGGCATGCATGCATGTGTAGCTTGAATGCGTAAGTTGCATAGTATGTGCTTATACCGTTTAGCATGCATAAAGCTCAAAGTACAGTGTCATTTGGAAAAAAAATGCATGTGGTAGCCTTTTCTTCTTTATTGTTCAAATATATATGTATATCAAACATGCATTTGTCGTTTTGATTTCCATGCATTGCATCTAAATTATTCAAAATTTATATACTCCTTTCCAGTTTTCAATAAAATTCCTAGTTTTGGTAGGATTGTTAGATTTATGGCATGTTCCAAAACTGCTTTCTCGGAGATGTATACAGGCCTACATGTTTTCGGTCAGTTCATGTTCGTTCAGTTTGTTCCAAAACTTTGCTATCGGAGATGTGTACATGTCGACAACCAGACTAGAAAATCACTCAAGTGTAACAAAGGCATCAGGGTTTATATAGCCGGTAAAATAAGTGAGCGAATCTGAAAGAAATATGGCGGGAAAAGGAGTACGGGAATGAAATAAGTCGTACAAGGATGAAATATCACATATTTAAGAGTTCATGTCAGCTTTAATAACGAAAATATATTTAAATTATTCTTTTGTATCGGTATTTTTCTGTTTAATTGATCTATTGTTTAATGAAGTGAAATTAAGGCTGCAGCAGTGCCCTTTATTAATTTTTCACAGTAAATTAATTATTCCAATTAATAATTTTTGTTTTTACATTTTTTATTCGATACTGTATACTTATTCGATACTTTAGAGCATTTTCTGAGAGCAATCTTTTT